ATTTTCAGTTTAGTATTCATCACAACCAGACTAGACAGCTACCCAGAGAATGGGACAGGTGAGATTTAGATTGGAGTGGGAGAGTCCTACCTTGCCAAGTGAAGTCTCCTTCCCATTAACTCATTGGGGCAGCTTCACACCTGTTAAATATCAGAGGTTATGAGAATATGAATACAAATCAACTAAGCAGAATAGTTTTTTTTTTTAAGTAGGAAAGTAACCAAAATAGGTAGTGAAGTAACTGCCTGTCATGTTCAGAAAACCGAATATCACCACTGTACAATCTGACGGTAATTCCAGCTATTTTCAGTTTAAGATTCATCACAACCAGACTAGACAGCTACCCAGAGAATGGGACAGGTGGGGTGTAGTAATGTCATGTACCTTTTCAGATTAGGTCTCCACATCCTTGGTTCAGTTCCACACCTGTTCAAAACCATTAGAATAGGAACACAATCAACTGCAGTTCATAATGAACAGGAAACTAACTACAGTAGGAATTGAAAGACACTGCTTGTCATGTTCAGAAAACCGAATATCACCACTGTACAATCTGACGGTAATTCCAGCTATTTTCAGTTTAGGATTCATCACAACCAGACAGTGCAACAGGTGAGGTGTAGACTGGAGTGGGTGTCAGTCTTACCTTGCCAGATGAGTCGCCATGCAATCAACTCATTGATGAAGCGTCACACCTGTTAAAATGTCAGGGGTTATGAAAATATGAATACAATCAACTACTCATTTGCAGTTCTTAAAGTGTGGGAAGGTAACTACATAAGAGTTGAAAGTCACTGCCTGTCGTGTTCAGAAAACCGAATATCACCACTGTACAATCTGACGGTAATTCCAGCTATTTTCAGTTTAGGATTCATCACAACCAGACAGTTACCCAGAGTGAAAGTCTCAAAGGCTGGAGTGGGTGTTGTAGTCTTACCTTTCGAGGTGAAGTCTCCTCACCATCAAGTCATTTGGGCGGAGTCTACTGTTTGAAACAATCATAGGGGTTATAAGAATCTATATAAAATGCAATAACCGCCACTGTGTTCAGGAGACCATCTAAAACAGCTTTGTTCCTCAGAAGTAGTTGAAATAAACTCATCAGTTGTCGCATCAAACTCTTCCTATTCAAGCTTTCATCACTGACAGAGCTGTGTATAGTGAATCTTACTAAATGTGCCATTGAATACCCAACTACACATTACTAGTCAGGCCTAATTAGGGTTTAAAAAAAAGTTGTATTTACTTGCCGTGTGTATGGCTTCAGTTCGCCCAGAGGGAGTAGTCTCCCAAATCTAGAACAAAAACATACAATTTCATCAAGGCATGATTGACAGGACTAGCATTTCAAACATAGTGCTAGCTAACTTAAGAGGGCAATGCATCTATTGGGGTGGTAGCTAGCTGGTTCTCTGTGTTTGTGGATCAGATGGCTAGATAGCAAGCTAGCTAACCATTTAGGAATCTTCGTCAGTTTCGCATTGGACGGCACTTCCTATATCATCACATCCACAAACTGTCAAAATCAACCATTTGTTACTAGAATGCATTAGCTGCCAACTATGTAACATCTTCACCAAGGCACTAGCATGGTTTAAATTCCTCCAATATCACCACTTTACAATTAACAGTAATTCCAGCTACTTTCATTTTAGTAATTTAGCAGACGCGCTTATCCAGAGCGACTTAGTTACTGAGTGCACACATTCTTCATACTGGCCCCCCGTGGGAATCAAACCCACAACCCTGGCGTTGCAAGCCCCATGCTCTACCAACTAGACCGCTAAACAGAGAATGTGACAGCTGTGGTCTGGTAATGTCATGTACCTTTTCAGATTATGTCTCCACATCCTTGGTTCAGTTCCACACCTGTTCAAAACCACCATAAAGCAACTTTAGAAAAGGAACACAAGAAACTACAGTTCATAAGGAACAGGAACGTGACTACAGTAGAAAATAAATCACTGCCTGTCATGTTCAGAAAACCGAATATCACCACTGCACAATCTGACGGTAATTCCAGCTATTTCAGTTTAGGATTCATCACAACCAGACTGTCACCCAGAGTCATAGTGTCTCAAAGGCTGGAGTGGGTGCGGTAGTCTTACCTTTTGAGGTGAAGTCTCCTCGCCATCAAGTAATTCAGGCAGCATCTGTTTGAAACAATCATAGGTTTTAAGAGAATATTTAAAGCAATAACCTAAGCTGTATTCAGGAGAAAATCTAAAACAGCTTTGTGCTCAAAAGCAATTGAAAGTAGTTTAGCCATTAAGCTCTTCCTATGTCAAGCTTTCATCACTGAAAGAGCTGTGGCAATAGATAGTGACTATTTAAATATTTGATCTGACTAGACAACAATTAGCTGAAATTAAAAAAAATATATTCAACCGTGCCAATGAATAGCCAACGCGACAATAGTAAGGCCTAGCTGGCGAGAAGAATGCCAGTTGAATTTACCTGCCATGTGCTGCTCCAGTTCAGTCCACACAGGCCAGGTCCAGACAGAATAGCTAGAACAAAAGTATAAAAAAAGTGCAAATGCATTAGGACTAGCATTTTAAATAGTGTTAGTAAAATGAAGGCACTGCATCTGTTGGGGTGATAACTGGCTGGTTTTCCGTGTTCGTGGATCAGATGGCTAACTAGCAAGCTAGCTAACAGTTTAGGAATCCTCGTCAGTTTCGCATCGGACGGCACTTCCTATATCGGTATCATCACATCCACAAACTATCAAAATAAACCACTTCTTAACTAGAATGTATTAGCAGCTAACTAGTTAACATCCTCGCCTAGTATAGACTCACCCTGGCATGGTTTAAAAATGTTACGAGTTCCCCACGTGCATGGTTCTGCAAGACCCCATGCTCCATAACTATCAAGCTAGCTACTGTTAGCTACTTAACAAATAACTAGGGCAGGAGCATGGCAAGACTCATGTGGCAGCACTGCACCAATAACTTCATACTAAATAAGCATTTCTAACATATCACTTCGATAATGCGGCGGATGTTCTGCTTCTGCAAGTAGACCACAAGACTCTTCTGGGAGGCGAGCGCGAGAAAGAGAGAGAATGAAAGTCGCCAGTCAAGTATTTATAGTGCACCGGTGACGTAAACCACAAACGCAGTCGGCTGAAGTTTACGTAAGGCACAACGCTGATGGGACGTCATCCAATGTGTGTGTGTTCCCTTCCTAACCAATCACTGCACACTTTACATTTTATTCAAACTACTCTAGAGTGAAGCAGAGAGAAACATTGGCTAAACTTTCATCATATCAGCTGTCCCAAATATTATGTCAGTCTTTTATTTGGGTAAAATGAAAGCATCCAACATAAAACGTGTTTTTAGTTTTTCATGGAAATATTGTACTTTTATTTGTTGTTGATATAGGCTATTAAGGTAATATGACTTTTGTTTTTTCAAGTTCAGAGCTTGCATACTTAAAATGTTTCACACAAGAGCTAGTGCGCACAAGACAGCTCGCCCACTCCTAGCTCTGGACCAGGGCGTAGTGCGTGTTCCTAAATCATGGAAGAACGCGCACTACGCCCTGGACTAGAGCTAACCCACTCCTTGGCAGCCTACTGGAGAGGGTTGAGCTAAAACGGAGGTCCATAATTTGAGTCATCTGTTTCCACTGCTGAGTTCGCAGCTCTGGTCTGCTGCTCACTGGTTGTCTTCGGGTGGATGTAGGGAGCCATAGGAGACTTTCTATTAGTGAAAAGTACATAATATGAGTTTAGAAGAATAGATAGTGTTCTACCGCAACCCATTGACGAATTGGAGTTTACTTTTCGCACTTTCAGTGCACTTGCAAGGTAAAGTATTATTCTTTATGATTATATGATTTTCTATCATGCCAATGTAGGGGTAGCCTATCTTCATGACAACACTATAATTTGAGTTTTGTTTATTTTCACCAATTCTACATGTTGCTTGGTTTTTAGCTGTGCAACAGATGGTCTGTAATCATGTTTTAGGAGACTTTGATCCCATGCCTTCCTGCATAAGCTTTCCTTTTCATCGCTCCTTCCACTCATAATCTTAGATGTGTAGACTTAATACTATAATGTGTAAAAGCCTAGAATGGCAACATCTTCAGTCCTTTGATCTGGCTGTAAGTGATCATAAAGTGGTCTCCCGAGTGGTCTAAGGCACTCCATTGCAGTGCTAGCTGTGCCACTAGAGATCCTGGTTCGAATCCAGGCTCTGTCGTAGCCGGCCGCGACCGGGAGACCCATGGGGCGGCGCACAATTGGTCCAGGGTAGGGGAGGGAATGGCCGGCAGGGATGTAGCTCGGTTGGTAGAGCATGGCGTTTGCAACGCCAGGGTTGTGGGTTCGATTCCCACTGGGGGCCAGTATAAAAAATTAATAATGTATGCACTAACTGTAAGTCGCTCTGGATAAGAGCGTCTGCTAAATGACAAAAAAATCAAAAATAAAGTCATGGAGACAAATAATGCCATGTAAGAGTCTCTACTTCCTTCCCCTTAGCAGGGCTTGTATTTGGTTGCTATAGTTGCCAGGTGAATGGACAAGGCTGTTGCCACAGTGACACTGTATACTCTTCCACCCAGACAAAGCAAATCAGATGGTCGATATACACCATGCAGGCTGTTTCTTAGTTTACTCTGACCTGCAGACAGCTGCCAGTGGTCTTTTGCATTGAGGCGTCACCTAGGAGATTCAGTGGACACTTTTTCTGTGGGTGTCAGACTATAGACTAGGCTACACATCAGGTTACACTAATGGACAGTTATTCCTTCTCTTTCAGCTGTTTGAAGTTGAAGCCTTTCCCTGGAGAAGCCCCTATTCACTCTACTCTACATCTGTATGTGAGAGAGAGAGATAGTGTTTCTGTGTATTTGTCCTGTTTGAGTGTGATTGTCAGCCTATGATTGTTTGAGCGTGTGCGAGTGGGTCTCTTATGTGTGTGTGATTGTTTGATTGTGTGTGTGTGTGTTTATGTCTATCCATACCACCTCGTAACTTCCACATGAAGAACATGTTGCCACCTGTGAGGAGAGACCGCATCATTGCTCAGCTTCCAGAGGTAACACATGCACGCGCGCACACACTCACGCGCACACATACACACACACACTTACACACACACACACACACACACACACACACTGCGGTTGTTAAATGTGTTCACAATGGAATGTGTAGCCTAGAGCAGGGATCATCAACTAGATTCAGCCGCTGGCCGATCTTTTCTGGAGGGGATGGTCGGGGACCTGAACATGATTACAAATAATTTGTAGACTGCAAATTGTCCGCAAGAAGCTCAAACAGATATAATATTTGACTAAAACGTAATCATTTCAATCCTTGCTTGCATTTGTATATGATCACGTCTGTCTATTATGTGTGGAAATACTTGGGAACAGATTTCACAAATGAAAACCACTTGGAGCTGATTCCCTGGTGTTTGTAAAAATAAATAAATATGTCCAACAATGAAAATTAAAAAAATTACATGTATTATTATTATTATTATTGGCTCAGAAAACATGGGGGGCCAAATAAAACCACCCGGGCCGCCAGTTGGGGAAACCTGGCCTAGAGTCTTTTGTGCCACAGTACACACCATCTCAGAGTATAATCTAATAATGTGTCTCTATAACACAATGACTCACAGTTTCAGAGTTCTGGCACCCGGTACTGAAGCAGATGATTAGACAGTGCTGTGTGGTAATATACTGCTTATTAGTCTGTTTCACACACCTAATGCTCGTAGTTTTGTTCAGGACTCGGTCACTGGCTCGTGCTAATGTGGCTGTACCATCGCTACAAAGAAGTTTAAAATGATGAACCAGAATTGAACAGATTCCGTTCAATGTCCCCATAAGGCAGTTGTCCTTCTAGCTTCTGATTTCTGTGTGACGCCAAGCTGATAGACTTTCTTGCTTTGAGTTGACCCCTTTTTTAAACCTCTCTCTCTCTCTCTCTCTCTCTCTCTCTCTCTCCTCCTCTCTCTCTCTCTCTCTCTCTCTTCTCCTCTCTCTCTCTCCCTCTGTCTCTCTCTCTCTCTCTCTCTCTCCTTCTCTCTCTCCCTCTCTCTCTCCTCTCCTCTCTCGCTCTCTCCATCTCTCTCTCTCTCTCTCTCTCTCTCTCTCTCTCTGTAGTGTTTTACCACAGATGCGGCACTACACACTAAAGATGGCTTCCACTCGCAGGTCAAGGCTGCCTGTCAGGGGCAGAAGACGGGCACAGTGGGGTGAGATGAACACACACACACACACACACACACACACACACACACACACACACACACACACACACACACACACACACACATATTGGTATAATAATATAATATGCCATTTAGCAGACGCTTTTATCCAAAGCGACTTACAGTCATGCGTGCATACATTTTTGTGTATGGGTGGTCCCGGGGATCGAACCCACTACCTTGGCGTTACAAGCGCCGTGCTCTACCAGCTGAGCTACAGAGGACCATATTATCAGTGTTTGACTGGACTGTTCTCTTTATGTGTCTGTAGCTTTAACATCGCCAAGGTGATTGTGGTAGGGGATGTGGCAGTTGGGAAGACATGTCTGATCAGCAGGTAAGGAAACACTGCAGTCTATGACTGCATCTGAAATGGTACCCTACTCCAAATATAGTTAACTACTTTTGAGAGAGTCCTATGGGCCATTTGGGAAACAGTCTATTACAGATCTTATCCCCCAGGTGGCACAATGATTTCCCTCAGGATGTGTGCTTACCAATTAAAAATACTACTGACCATTTCACTTCCTGATAGTCAGTTGTTGCCATGACACCCAGGTGAATCCACACACAGCAGAGCACCTGCCTCTTCAGAAAGCAGTAAAACTGTTACCCCTGCTCTCCCCCAGCCTGGGATAATAGAGACAGATTTTTGACTAATTGATTGACTTGTGGGTTTGATTATTGGCATATTGAAGTAAGTTAGTTCAGTGATCAAATCTCCTGAAAAGTTGCTATTTATAGTCATAGCTTTGGGTACATGAAGAGGTATACAGTATGGTAAACTCATGTCATAATGTTTCCTGTCTGTTCTGTTACTGTTCAGTTACTGTCCTGTTACCATCCTACTACCGTTCTGTTACTGTTCTGTTACCGTCCTGTTACTGTCCTGTTACCGTCCTGTTACTGTCCTGTTACTGTTCTGTTACCGTTCTGTTACCGTTCTGTTACTGTTCTGTTACCGTCATGTTACTGTCCTGTTACTGTCCTGTTACTCTTCTGTTCCTGTTCTGTTCCTGTCCTGTTACTGTTCTGTTACTGTTCTGTTACTGTCCTGTTACTGTCCTGTTACCGTCCTGTTACCGCACTGTTACCGTCCTGTTACCATGCTGTTACTGTTCAGTTACCGTTCTGTTACCGTCCTGTTACTGTTCTGTTACTGTCCTGTTACCATCCTGTTACTATCCTGTTACCGTTCTGTTACCGTCCTGTTACCATCCTGTTACCGTTCTGTTACTGTCCTGTTACCGTTCTGTTACCATCCTGTTACTATCCTGTTACCGTTCTGTTACCATCCTGTTACCGTTCTGTTACTGTCCTGTTACCGTTCTGTTACCATCCTCTTACCGTTCTGTTACTGTCTATATATTACTCAGGTGACAGGAATATATTACTCAGGTCACCCAAGACTTGACAGGAACTGTAATAACGTCATTGATTATGTTATATTTCTCTCTCTCTCCACAGGTTCTGTAAGGACTTTGATAAGAACTATAAGGCCACCATCGGAGTGGATTTTGAGATGGAGCGGTTTGAGGTGTTGGGTGTGCCCTTCAGTTTACAGCTGTGAGTAGTACGCACGCACACACACACACACGCATGCACACACACACACACGCACGCACGCACGCACACACACACACACACACACACACACACACACACACACACACACAATTCACACTTTCATCATCCTCGCCCTTTGCTCATCAATTGTAGTCTGTTGCCTCTTGCTCCCTCTCTCTCCCTCCCTCTCTCTCCCTCTCTCTCTCTCTCTCCCTCCCTCCCTCTCTGTCCTTCCCTCTCTCTCCCTCCCTCTCTCTCCTTCTTCCTTTCTCTCCCTCCCTCTCTCTCCTTCCCTCTCTCTCCCTCCCTCTCTGTCCTTCCCTCTCTCTCCCTCCCTCTCTCCCTCTCTCTCCCTCCCTCTCTCTCCTTCCCTCTCTCTCCCTCCCTCTCGCTCTTCCTCTCTTTCCCTCTCTCTCTCTCCTTCCCTCTCTGTCCCTCCCTCACTCTCCTTCCCTCTCTCTCTCTCCTTTCCTCTCTCTCACTCCCTCTCTCTCCTTCCCTTCTCTCGCCCTTCCTCTCTCCCTCCCTCTCTTCTCTCCCTCTCTCTCCCTCCCTCCCCTCCCCCTCCCTCTTGTCCTTCTCTCTCTCCCCCCTCTCTCCCTCTCTCCCTCTCTCTCCCTCCCTCTCTCTCCTTCTTCCTCTCTCTCCCTCCCTCTCTCTCCTTCCCTCTCTTTTCCTCCTCTCTCTCCTTCCTCTCTCTCCCCCCCTCTCCTCTCCTTCCCTCTCTCTCCTTCCCTCTCTCTTCCTCCCGCTCTCTTTCCCTCTCTCTCCCTCCCTGTCTGTCCTTCCCTCTCTCTCCCTCCCATCTCTCTCCCTCCTCTCGCTCTCCTCTCTCCCCCCTCTCTCCGTCCCTCCCTCTCTCTCCCTCCCTCTCTCCTTCTCTCTCCCTTCCTCTCTCTCTTTCCCTCCCTCTCTCTCCTTTCCTCTCTCTTCCTCCATCTCTCTCCTTCCCTCTCTCAGATGGGACACAGCGGGTCAGGAGAGGTTCAAGTGCATCGCCTCCACATATTACAGAGGAGCACAAGGTAGGAAAACACCCACACACGTATGTTATAGGAAGCCCTTAATAGATGTATTGTGGCGATACCTGCAGCCTGTCTCTTCTCTAATGTGTGTTGTGTTGTTCTCCTGGTTTCTCTGAAGCCATCATAGTGGTATTTGACCTGAGCTGTGTGACCTCTCTGGACAACGCCAGGTAAGAGATGCCAAAATATGACATGTTATTCACATCTGTAGCACCCAGATAGAATGGCTTTTCATCCTAGTATCTCAGTGGACATCAGTCCATTTCTATATTAGACTACTTTATTATATGTGATAGACATATTGTGTGTGTGTGTGTGTGTGTCTGTGTGCACGTATGTGTGTGTGTGTGTGTGTGTGTGTGTGCAGGCAGTGGCTGGAGGATGCTATGAAGGAGAACGATCCCTCCAGTGTTCTGCTGTTCCTGGTCGGAACCAAGAAGGACCTCAGCGTGAGTCTGATGGGAAAGATCCAACCTGACTAAAGACAGCGCAAAGGATCTGTCATTCACTGATTTAAAGATGAAGCATTTCAAACTGTATCTCTCTCTCTCTCTCTCTCTCTCTCTCTCTCTCTCTCTCTCTCTCTCTCTCTCTCAGTCTCCTGATCAGTTGGCCTACATGGAGCAGGAGGCCATTAGACTGTCAGAGGAGATCAGAGCAGAGTACTGGGCTGTGTCTGCTAAATCAGGTAGTGCTGGGAATACACACACACAAACACGCACGGACCCCCACACAAACATGCACGGACCCCCACACAAACACGCACGGACCCCCACACAAACACACACGGACCCACACATAACATCCTCTGGTTTACTCCCTCATGTCCCCCATCATATCCCATCCTATCCCATCATATCCCATCCTATCCCATCATATCCCATCCTATCCCATCCTATCCCATCATATTCCATCATATCCCATCCTATCCCATCATCTCCCATCCTATCCCATCGTATCCCATCCTACCCCATCGTATCCCATCCTACCCCATCATATCCCACTTTCTAACTCTCTGCCTCCCCTCACACACTTTCTTCCCCTCCTCTCTGTCTCTCTCAGGGGAGAGTATCAGGGAGTTTTTCTTCCGGGTAGCGTCTCTAACCTTTGAGGCCAACGTGCTGGCAGAGCTCGAGAAGAGTGGGTCCAGACGTGTTGGCGACATTATCAGTAAGTTTATTTTATTACATGCAGGATACTTTTTATTCTAACATTTCTTCCCTTTGACACATGTATGTTTCCTACAGGAATCACAGAGAGCTCAGAAGAGGAGTACAAACCAACCAAGAGGAAACCAACCTGCTGCTGATGGGGGAGGATACATTACACAACACAACACAGGACAACACAGCACAACACAACACAGGACAACACAGCACAACACAACACAGCACAACACAACACAGGACAACACAGCACAACACAACACAGGACAACACAACACAACACAACACAACACAGCACAGCACAACACAGGACAACACAACACAGGACAACACAACACAGCACAACACAACACAACACAGGACAACACAACACAACACAGGACAACACAGCACAACACAACCCATGACAACACAACACAGGACAACACAACACAACACAGGACAACACAACACAACACAGCATAACACAACCCATGACAACACAACACAGGACAACACAACACAACACAGGACAACACAACACAACAACACAAAACAGGACAACACAACACAACAACACAACACAGGACAACACAACACAACACAGGGCAACACAGCACAACACAACACAGGACAACACAGCACAACACAGCACAACACAACCCATGACAACACAACACAGGACAACACAACACAACACAGGACAACACAACACAACACAGGACAACACAGCACAACACAACCCATGACAACACAACACAGGACAACACAACAACACAACACAGGACAACACAGCACAACACAACCCATGACAACACAACACAGGACAACACAACACAACACAGGACAACACAACAACACAAAACAGGACAACACAACACAGGACAACACAGCACAACACAACCCATGACAACACAACACAACACAGGACAACACAACACAGGACAACACAGGACAACACAACACAGGACAACACAACAACACAACACAACACAGGGCAACACAACACAGGACAACACAACACAAAACAGGACAACACAACACAACAACACAGGACAACACAACACAGGACAACACAACACAACAACACAACACAGGACAACACAACACAACACAGGACAACACAGCACAACACAACCCATGACAACACAACACAGGACAACACAACACAACACAACACAACAACACAACACAGGACAACAACACAACACAGGACAACACAACACAACAACACAACACAACACAGGACAACACAACACATGACAACACAGCACAACAACACAACAGAGGACAACACAACACAGGACAACACAACACAGCACAACACAGGACAACACAACACAGGACAACACAACACTACACTACACAACACAGGACAACACAACACAACACAGGACAACATAACAAAGGACAACACAACACAGGACAACACAACACAACAACACAGGACAACACAACACAGGACAACACAACACACCACAACAAAGGACAACACAACACAGCACAACACAACACAGGACAACACAACACTACACAACACAACACAGGACAACACAGGACAACACAACAAACGACAACACAACACAGGACAACACAACACCACAACACAGGACAACACAACACAGGACAACACAACAACACAACACAGGATAACACAACACAGCATAACACAACACAACACAGGACAACACAACACAACACAGGACAACACAACACAGGACAACACAACAACACAACACAACACAGCACAACACAACACTACACAGCACCACACAACACAGGACAACACAACACAATCATGCATCTGTGTGTTTGTACAATGTGATAATGGAGGAAGTGTTGTCTCAGTGAGGAGGATTCCAATTCCATGGACTGTCAGCTGAACGACGAGAGAGGAAGTAATAGCAACAGCATTTATCCCTACCAATCCATGGATAACGGATTGCATTCGTAGTCGTTTTTACATGTTCATAAAGAGAAATAGGCGAAGCTTACATGGTCTTTAAAGCGGCTTAAGAGAAATAGGTGAAGCGCGTGGACTGGAAGAAGCCTCTATAATCACAAAACCAGGGTTTGGGGTCTAAGGCTGTTCCTTTATGTGAAACCCTATCCATAAACAACTGGAGATAGCGTAGGTCCCATAGTTTTGAGTTTTCCCTGACCATGTAACTGGACCAGGAAATACTCTTATCTATCCCTTTACGTGGTGCACTACTCTTCACCAGGGCCATGTAGCTCTGGTTCTCATCATTTGAGATTTGTCCCAGACAGATTCCTGCATTCTAGGTGAAGACGTCAGCAGCAACAGGCATGCAGCCCTCTGTGTGTTGGCTGGTTTATTTTCCTCCTCCGTCTCCTCCCGTCATGCGTCTGGTCTGCTAATGTGATGCGTACGCTGCCTCCCATGACTACCCAACATCCCCACCATACCACCGCCACCCACAGTATAGACTCTGAGGGCCTCCTAAAATAGAGGGATTGTTTTATCACGAGAGGGGGAGAGAGAGTGAGAGATGGAGAGAGTGAGAGAGATAGAGAGGGAGAGAGAATGAGAGATGGGGAGAAAGAGATTGGGAGGGATCGGAAGAGTGAGATGCAGTGAGAGAGAGGGGGAAGAGATAATGAGAGAGAGAGATGGGGAGAGAGATGGAGAGAGTTAGAGAGCGGGAGAGATAGAAACAGAGAGAGATGGAGAGAGAAGAATGTTTCATTTACATCTGATGATCTGAGGCAAATTTAATTAAGAGCGTGGAGAAGAGGCCTGAAACAGGCCAGACATTTAGGGCTACTGCTTTACCATGTCCTGATATGCTGTTTATGACTCAATACTGATGATTGTATTATATTTGATGTGATTTATATTTGATGTCCTATAAAATCAATATAGATGACTTTCATTCACAGTTATAGATTGATAACACTCTTCAGATGAGTAATGGGAAGTTTATTGTTATGGGCTACACAAAGAAGCAAATGCCTGTGTGTTGAATAACACTGTACCAGAGGAGGCTGGTGGGAGGAGCTATAGGAGGATGGGCTCATTGTAATGGCTGGAATGGAATAAATGGAACAGTCACACAGAGCACTTCAATAACACAATGTGGGGACTCGGGTGTCAATAATATGAACACTTTTATTAAAGGGATCACAGGTAGAAAAGGTTATCTGCAGTGTAATAATAACTGAGGCAAAACTTCTCCCCTCCCCTCTCCTCCCCTCTCCTCCCACTGCCAACAACCACAGGCTTACTGAAGGTACAACATGTAATATTGCAAATAGAGAATACAGGCCAGGTTTCCGAGACCTAAATAAAACCTATACTCCTGGACTAAACCATCGTTTACCAGGCAGGTTGATTGAGAACTAGTCCTTATTTGCAATAATCAGCCTGAGCATGTTTAAATGAGATTCTACATTGAACATGGTTTTTAGCCCGGGAGTAACCCTAGAACTCTCTAGAACATGGCGCTCACAAATAAAGACCAAAAACTGTATATCAGCAACCCATTCGACTGTACACAGACAGAGCAAATAGTCACAACTGAAAAAACTAATTTCCCAGAAGAAAACACCGTGATGTGTCTGAGTGACACCAGGCAGTGTCACTTAGAGATATATGTCATGTATATATATATATATAAAAAAAAAAAAGGAACTCAAGACTTCAGTGCTTCCGACTTCAGTTCGTTCAAGAGAACTGGACATTCTGGAGAGAAAAAAACCAAGCTCCAACTTGGAAAAAGAGTTTTGAACGATCATTTAACTCGGGATTCCAAGTCGGAAACTCTGGCAATCTTTCTAGAGCTCAGACTTTCCGACCTGAAGATCACTGACGTCTTGATTTGACCTAGTTTTTTTTCTCCCAGAGTTCCCAGTTGTCTTGAAAGCACCAATACACATGGTCTTTCACCACAGATATTAATTCTTATGATAATGATCTGTGGATGAGACCAAGGTCCGATGTGTTCACATAACTGACATTTCAGTCAGCAACGTCCTCCCCTTCCCTTAGTACTGGCCCTTTAGAGTTCACAGATCTGCACAGGTCTGGATAGAAGAAAGCAACATGGCAGATTAACGCTCCACATCTCACCTTGGGGTGCTAGGTGGAACATCTCCATAGTGATCACAGATATCCAGACTTTAAGGGGCCAGACTTAGGAGAACAGGGACATATTTAAAACCGGCTACATGTAAATGCCCAAATACCCAAGAGTGTCTTAAATGCTCACATGATGTTTGAAAGTCAAGGACAAAAGGATTCAAAGAAATGCTAAGTTCACAGACACAAAAGTTAAAATATACAGTTACACGTGAGTAAACTCACAACAAATAAGCCTATGCTTCAAACTACCAAAGGATGCTTTACACCCCCAATTTTTTTTGTTGTTGAAAATATGCAGTCAAAAAAAAAAAAAGTTGTCACAGCAAAGCAAAAAGTTTAAGGGTAAAACCTAGTCCCTCCCTAACATACTGTCATCTCTGTCAATCGAATTCGGTTAGGTTCACTTGTGACAACCGTCATGGTATCAGTTACCATGGTTACCGGTAGTACTAATCTTTTGTTCAGTGGTTAGAACACAGAAACAAAGTCTTCCAAAGAGTGATAGTAGAGTAGACCATGTTATATCCACATAACCCGTCTGTCTGTCTCTCGGTTTAAAACCTAGTTTGTCTCGGTTGGTACTGACGGCAACACTAATAAACCAGCAGGTTTTGGACAAAAGTAAAATCTCACCAGTCTGTGTCGTTGGGGTTTCAATCATTCCCATCATCACATGGGTATCATTCACCACATTAAAAGGAGAGAGCTCTTCATATTCAATAGCAATATTTCTCTCTATACCATAAGTATAGAGACTCATAAGCACGTGTGTGTGTGTGGGTTTGACAGACCATGTGAGGAGTGCAGGGTTAGGGTTCATACTGAAAACAGTGTCTTTATTCATTTTGATGCATCAATACAAAAACGCAGACAAGCTTCCTGATTGGCTCGGCAAAGCGCTCGTTAGGCTGCCTCTCGCCACAACCCGCCAATCACCAGGAGGGCAAGGGGCGGGTCTATGCAGCCAAAGGGACATTACATACCAACCTACCACGGCAGGAGACAACCCGCGAACCAATCAGATGCTTTCGGCAGCATCTCCTAATCTTTTTATATATTTTTTAAAAAATCAAACAGGAAAAAGGAAGTACAGCATACCCCATGTTATTAATAAGAAAAGGAACGGACAAAGGTTGCCCTGACAACCAAACAATAATTTCTCCATTAGGTCCATGTCCTATTATCTCTATGTCAGCGGTTTGTTTCAAGTGTTTGGTGTCTGTCGACATGTCTTCCTGCCTGACATACAGAGTTAATATCCTTACTAAATAAAATACTGGACTACGTGGCCGGCAAAAATAGAGGGAGGAAAGAGAGAGGGACAGACAGAAGAAGGGAAGAGATGTGCTGGGAGAGAAACATGGCTAGATACACAGTAGCTAGAAACAGAATCCAATGGGACACAAGAAGAGGGTGAGCAGGGTTAGTTTAGTGGGCTAGGAGGAGAGGTAGGTAAGGAGGATCTGAATGGCATGGGTCCGGTTTGAGGGGGCATGCAGGCAGGCGGATGGATGGAAGGATGAGTTGATCAGAGCAAGGGGGTATATTCGGGGAGGAGGGGGGTATACAGTCGCCCCCCCCCCCCGCCCTGTCCTATCGGTCCATCTCGTCCAGAAGGGGCGTGGCGTCTCCAGCAATTGACATAGGCGTGCTCTGGATCATGGGGCTGGGGGAAGGTCGCGGGGTCATCCTGGGTGTCTTCTGCTTCTTCCTCTCTGCCTCCTTCTCCTGGAGCCACTGCTCCGCCACCTTGCCCCAGTCCACCGCCGCGCTGCCGCCCGACCTGCAGGGAGACACAGAGTAGGGGCGGGGTTAGGTACAGGGCAGTTTGGATGTTGTAGTCTTTCCAGTTTGGATGTTGTAGTCTTTCCATAGCTACCACCACCACTGAAAGTTTGCAATCAATCTGATATTCACAATAGAGATTCAGAACACAACTTCTTCATTCCAGATCGACCCATAGCCCAGGATACATGTAGTCATTTCTTCTAGAATTATTCTGACATATTCTAAAAACTCCCAACTACTCAAAAAACATTTTCCATCAACTGACTCATCACACACATCCAACTGAAACACAACCTGTCTATCTCTCCGTCTCGACTTACTTAGGCTGCTGCTGCGGAGTGCGTCCTCTGGATGAGGAGGAGGAGGAGGGTGTGTTGGACGAGTGTCCCTGGTGACTGCTGTGGCCCTGGTGTCCGTGGCTGCTCTGTGGAGTGGGAGGACTGGGGGGTGGAGGAGGGGTACTGCGGGGTACCCATGGTCTGCTGGCTGGGGGTGGTATACGAGTAGCTGGGGGTCATCATGGGCGTCGCCATCGGCTGTTGGGGCGTCGCAAACACCTGGAGAGAGAGAGATGGAGGGAAGGAGGGAGGGAGAGGTGGTTAAAATGGAGCACTATCTACACATTCAAATAATTGTGGCAAACAGCAGTAGAAAAAGATAACATTATTCACGTCACATCTCTCCAATGTGATGAACACCCATGTTTGATCTTTCTGCCACAACAAGATTCCTTAGCATCACCCAGGTGGTTGATACACACTGGCAGCGAATGAGGCGAGTTAGCTTCATTTTACCCCAATACAAAACAAAGCCATTGGACCATCGGTAAAGCAATGCTATAAATCCACTCACGTGATAGGCTGAGGAGCTGCCTCCCCCGCCCCCGCTGCTGCCCCCGGTGTAACCGTATTGGCTGGAGCCCCACTGGGCAGGGCGTAGTGTTAGGCGTTCTGGCCCTGCCCCTGCCCTGTCACCGCGGCGATGGCACTGAACATCTGGGAGGTCATGTTGCGTGGGAGAGCGCTGACCGCTCGCGTCAGGTCTGAGAGACGGAGAGACGGAGAGTTAAACACTACAGTAGCATCAGACATCCACCAGAATTACTAAAGTGGATATTTGATAGGATGAAATTGCTTACCAACTTTAGGATTGATACATTTGGATGGAGATGAGTTTGTGTGTGTGTGTGTGTGTTGTGTGAGAGAGAAAGTGAGTAAGAGAGACTGACCTGCGATGTTGATGTTAGCTGGTGTAGTGTTGACAGAGGCAGGTGTCCGTGTTCGACTGCTACTGCTGGGTGTGATGCCTGAGGGAGGAAATGAAACAGATATTGGAACCACAGGATAGGACAGTGGTCGCCAACCCGTCGATCACCAAACGTTTCTGTAGAAAAGCCAACGATAAAGCCTGTGGTAAAGCCTGTGGTAAAGGCTGTGGTAAAGGCTGTGGTAAAGCCTGTGGTAAAGGCTGTGGTAAAGCCTGTGGTAAAGGCTGTGGTAAAGCCTGTGGTAAAGGCTGTGGTAAAGGCTGTGGTAAAGGCTGTGGTAAAGGCTGTGGTAAAGCCTGTGGTAAAGGCTGTGGTAAAGCCTGTGGTAAAGCCTTGCACTCCTTTAAAAAAAAAAAAAGTAGGTGCACTTGATTGAGAAGCTCTGAGCACCAGGTAGGCAAAGTGTTCCCATTTTGAACCATTTCATTTGTCTGAAAAAACTAACTCCGCCTACCCAGTGGACCGGGAGATCAGTGGCTAAATCGAGTGCGCCTACAGCGCTTCCACGGCCCCAGGTCATTGCAAAGTTTGATACTAGCCTAATTTAGATGTAATAACTTTTAAAACCATGACCACAGAGAGACTGTCAAAGAATACAGCAAAGAGCTGCTGTTTTTATGAGCGAGTTCATGTTAAAAATATGTATTCAGCACTGCCAACCTTGTTTTTCTTCAACACTATTACAAAACATAAAAAAAAAACGTATCCATAATTTCACTCGCGCTGCAGCTGCAAGGAATGAGTAGCCAAGATTGTTGATAGCCCTGCGTTTTAATTATTATTAGAAGCTCGTCGTGGATATTTTAATATCGAGGAGTATTTCACTTTCTCTGGTCATAGGAACAACATGAATTTGTGCATGACTGAGGCAGATGCGGTGCGATTCGAGTTTCGCCATCAGGTGGAGACTGTCCTCTCTCTGGTCAGTCTCAAGGGAAGAAAGAAAGGATAGGATCGTGACCCTCTGCTGTTCTCTCCCTTCCTCCCTCCCTCCGCTGAGACTAATGCTGTGTTCAAAACAACTGGGAATTCAGAAACCTCAGACTTCTGAGCGTTCAAGACAAATGGGAACTCTGGAAAAAAAAAAGAGATCCGACTGTCATGTAAAAAAAATATGAGCGGTAGATTTCGGCTTGCTTTTTAACTGCGGAAGTGATCTTGACTCAGAAAAGGTTGGTGACCACTGGTATAGGAGATAAAAACACCTTTACAACCTACCCAATCAACATAGGACAACTACAGCAGTGGCACACTGGTCTAGAGAGATTGACAGGTGTTCTAGCCAATGGGCAGTATGTACCTGGTACCGGTTCCTGGAAGTGGTCTTTGAACCAGCGGAACAGTCCGTTAACGGTGGGGAACATCTGGGAGCGGTACCGGAACCCGTCAGGAGAGATGGTCACATACTCAACACTACAGACAGAGGACAACATTTTCAAAACCAACCACAACAACTCTACTGCTCTGAGCTCTGTCATAATCATCACATATATTCAAATTCCATTGTCAATCCAATAGAATAATATTGAACCATCCTTCTAGGATGTGTATGTAGCCACGTTATCATTCCTCATTGTGTATTTATTCCTGGTGTTATAATTTTTCTATATTTTTCTCTCTGCATTGTTGGGAAGGAAGTAAGAAAGCATTTCACTGTTAGTTTACACCTGTTGTTTACCAAGCATGTGACAAATAACATTTAATTTGATTTAAGGCTGTGGGGAGAGACCATGGTATTTCTATGGGAGAGATGAGGTCAGGGACAAGGTCCACAACATAGACATATAATGAATAGAACGGTCTTGGAACCTCTAACCCTGGCAATTTGACTGGTAAACTCATGGATACACTCGTAATGGCTGCATGGTATTGTGATGCAATAATTTCCATGGTAATGCAGAATGTTCATTCAAATGATGTTAACTGATGTGGCTCATGCAATGGAATGTATTTTTTGTAATGTCAATTGGGTTGATTCAGCAAATCATATTGATGGGTACACATCCTGCTTTTACTTCCTGCTTTGCTCCTATGGGTACCCTCAAAATGGCTGCCAGACAACCCATTATGGCATCATTTACTTGAATGGAGACGCCCGTTCTATTCATTCCATTTCTATGGTCGTCAACCACTCACCATGGTTAGGGTTAGTTAGCTATAGTCATGGTAACTCACCATGGTTAGGGTTAGTTAGCTATAGTCATGGTAACTCACCATGGTTAGGATTAGTTAGCTATAGTCATGTAACTCACCATGGTTAGGATTAGTTAGCTATAGTCATGGTAACTCACCATGGTTAGGATTAGTTAGCTATAGTCATGGTCACTCACCATGGTTAGGGTTAGTTAGCTGTAGTCATGGTAACTCACCGTGGTTAGGATTAGTTAGCTATAGTCATGGTAACTCACCATGGTTAGGATTAGTTAGCTATAGTCATGGTAACTCACCGTGGTTAGGATTAGTTAGCTATAGTCACGGTAACTCACCATGGTTAGGATTAGTTAGCTGTAGTCATGGTAACTCACCGTGGTTTGCCACGAGGCTGGTATCCCAGTATGAACTTCCCAGGCAGGTCTTTACAGGCTGAGACAAAGTAGGGGATGAACGTAGGTTTCTCCTTCTTAGACCTGATCAACAACTCCTCCATTTTCTACCATACAGAGAGAGGGACGGGGCGACAGGGAGAGGGACGGGGCGACAGGGAGAGGGACGGGGAGACAGGGAGAGGGACGGGGAGACAGGGAGAGGGACGGGGAGACAGGGAGAGGGACGGGGAGACAGAGAGAGGGACGGGGAGACAGAGAGAGGGACGGGGAGACAGGGAGAGGGACGGGGAGACAGGGAGAGGGACGGGGAGACAGGGAGAGGGACGGGGAGACAGAGAGAGGGACGTGGAGACAGGGAGAGGGACGTGGAGACAGGGAGAGGGACGGGGAGACAGAGAGAGGGACGGGGAGACAGAGAGAGGAGATGAATAAAATGGAGATGTGTAGCTTTATAAATAAAGAGAATAATAATACAAACAAACTGTCACTGGAGAGATCAAACCAGGAGGTTATTTTCTTTGTAAGTCTTTGTCAAACCAATACTCTGTGAGAGACTTTTGAGGTGAATCAAAATAAAACACTTTCCTGTGGTTAAGACTATATTCCCCCCCCCCCCCCATACCTTCCTGTCCCCTCCGTTACAGTCCTGGAAGTACTTGTGTCCCAGCAGGTCGCGAGCGAACGCTGCCATTGGCTGAATATAACGAGCTGTGATCTCATCAAGATCCTCAAACTCCTAGAGGGAGGGAGTGGGAGAGAGAGATGAGGGAGGGAGAGAGATGAGGGAGGGGGGAGACAGAGAAAGAAGGGGCAGAGAGAGAGCAAGGGGGGGGGTAGAGAGATCAGTTTGAGTTGTGGAACAGGCATGTAGACAACCCATCGCGCTCTCTCTCTCTCACACACACACACGGTCTTCACCTCAGTGTTGATCCAGAGTGTGTGTCCCAGGCTGAAGGCGTTCTCCTTGCCCTCCTCTCTCACGTCAACGTGCTGGTAGATACCGTCAGCCACCTACACATAACACATCTGATTAGCATCCAACAACAAATTAATCAACCTGTCGGTCAACACATACACACAGGGCTCGACATTAACGGTTCATTGAATGAGGGAATTATTTTATAAAGACATTTAAAAAAAAATGTTCATTTACATTTTAGTCATTTAGCAGACGCTCTTATCCAGAGCGACTTACAGTTAAGTGAGTACACACATTTTTCATACTGGCCCCCCGTGGGAATCGAACCCAGAACCCTGGCGTTGCAAGCGCCATTCTCTACCAACTGAGCTACAGGAGGTTGTAATTGTAATGTTGCAGGGTGGCCAACCATCCTAGAAGGAGATTCTGGGTGTGCAGGCTCTTGGTCCAGCCCTGCTCTAACACACCACATTGTAAAAATAAGCTGACTGGTGTGTTTGAGCAGGGTTGGATCAAAAGCCTGCACTTCCAGTAGCTCTCCAGATAGAGGGTTGATGGACCACTTGTTTTATACAGTAGCCTATCAGTGCAGTATTTTACTTTTTGGGGGGTTATGCACCCATCTACAGCACTCCTCTCTCCCCCTCTCTAGCCATACCTACCATGTGACACCTCCCTGATCCACCCCCCCCTCCATACCTACCATGTGACGCCTGCCTGATCCACCCCTCCCTCCATACCTATCATGTGACACCTCCCTGATCCACCCCTCCCTCCATACCTATCATGTGACACCTCCCTGATCCACTCCTCCCTCCATACCTTCCATGTGACACCTCCCTGATCCACTCCTCCCTCCATACCTTCCAGGTGACACCTCCCTGATCCACCCCTCCCTCCATACCTACCATGTGACACCTCCCTGATCCATCCCTCCCTCTATCCCTCCATACCTTCCAGGTGACGGTGAGGTGGTTCTCTCCCTTGCTGCTCGGCCTGATAACAACGTCTCCCTGGTCCATAGACTCCATCATCTTCTCAGCCTGCTTGAAGTTGATGTTATGGAAGGATGGGTGGGCGATCACACGTTTTATATAGGCTGGAGAGAGAAGAGAGGGGGCAAGAGGGTGGATAGAGGGAGGAGAGGATAGAAGGGAGGAGAGGAAAGTGAGAAACAGAAGAGTAACGTTAAGAAGGTACATCGTAGTCTTGGTTTGTTCACAAAGTTCAAATAAAAACATGCACTGTTTCAGCCCTAACCTGACCCTAACCCTGTATACTAACTGGTTCTCTGTTTCTTCTCTGTACACTACTGTTTACTGGCTGCATACTAACTGGTTCTCTGTACACTACTGTTTACTGGCTGTATACTAACTGGTTCTCTGTTTCTTCTCTGTACACTACTGTTTACTGGCTGTATACTAACTGGTTCTCTGTACACTACTGTTTACTGGCTGTATACTAACTGGTTCTCTGTACACTACTGTTTACTGGCTGTATACTAACTGGTTCTCTGTACACTACTGTTTACTGGCTGTATACTAACTGGTTCTCTGTACACTACTGTTTACTGGCTGTATACTAACTGGTTCTCTGGTTGTTTTCTCTTGACCTCTCTTCTTGGTGTCCTCTGTCTCCGTGCAAAGTGTACCGTCTTGAAAGCTCCACTCTTGTTCTTACCATAGGTCAGAGTACGACACGTCAGGTGTCCACGTTAACTTCTCGATGTCGATCTTCTGAGCGCAGTGTACCGTCATACCCACCTGGAGAGGAGGCAGGAGAGTTAGGGAACACAGTAAGTACTGAATGTACTGAACCAACTCCAGTCACCAACAAGTTTGAGTCTGGAGAGAGAAGAAGAGGGAAACCCAGCCTGTGTGTGCTCTCCGGGACCAGAATGTGTGTGTTTGGTTTGTGTGACGTGTTTTGCCAGTCTGTGTTCCCCTTGAATTGGTAGGGGATTGAGCCACCTTGTCCATCCGACCCCATTTGCGGGGAACGAAGCCCTGTCAAAACGGTTTCCACACCTAGCCCTCACACGATAGCTGGGCCAGGACAAGAACCAGTGCAAATAGGTTCACACTAAGCATATGAGAGGAGAGAGAGAGAGGGAAGAGAGAGAAAGGAAGGAAGAGAGAGAGGAGAGGAAGAGAGAGAGGAGAGGAAGAGAGAGGGAGAGGAGAGAGAGAGGAGAGAAGAGAGAGGAGAGGGAAGAGAGGAAGAGAGGGGGAGAGAGAGGAGAGGAAGAGAGAGGAGAGGAAGAGAGAGAGAGGAGAAAGTAAATAATAATTTACAAATAAATAATACATCACGTCCCGCTGATTTGTTCTAATTTTACATTTTAGTCATTTAGCAGACGCTCTTATCCAGAGCGACTTACAGTTAGTGACTTCCCTAAGTAACCACGTCAGAGTCGCGGGGAAAGGAACAGGTGAGGGGTTAGAGGTCATGATGTCTCACCTCGCTGAGTTCAGGGAAGTTGTCCTGTTGACAGAAGGGGCACTGCCACAGGCCTGTAGCGTCGTTCCTGATGGCCTGGTCATAACTCTCCCCCTGGGGGCGCCGGTGGGCTATACCGGTCACTACACTGGTGATCAGCTTCCCTGGAGACAGAGGGAGAGGCAGAGTGAGCAACTGTACATGTAAGCAGAATCTGAGAGGGTGTGAAGATAGTGTGAGTGGATTAGGGTGGTGTGAGTGCTACCAATGAACAAGGTAAGGGGGTGGGTGTGGGTTACCTATGTAGAAGGTAAGGGTGTGGGTTACCTATGTAGAAGGTAAGGGGGTGGGTGTGGGTTACCTATGTAGAAGGGGGTGGGTGTGGGTTACCTATGTAGAAGGGGGTGGGTGTGGGTTACCTATGTAGAAGGTAAGGGGGTGGGAGTGGGTTACCTATGTAGAAGGTAAGGGGGTGGGGAGTGGGTTACCTATGTAGAAGGTAAGGGGGTGTGGGTGTGGGTTACCTATGTAGAAGGGGGTAGGTGTGGGTTACCTACGTAGAAGGTAAGGGGGTGGGTTACCTATGTAGAAGGTAAGGGTGTGGGTTACCTATGTAGAAGGTAAGGGTGTGGGAGTGGGTTACCTATGTAGAAGGTAAGGGTGTGGGTTACCTATGTAGAAGGTAAGGGGGTGGGTGTGGGTTACCTATGTAGAAGGTAAGGGGGTGGGGTGTGGGTTACCTATGTAGAAGGTAAGGGGGTGAGTGTGGGTTACCTATGTAGAAGGTAAGGGGGTGGGAGTGGGTTACATATGTAGAAGGTAAGGGGGTGGGAGTGGGTTACCTATGTAGAAGGTAAGGGGGTGTGGGTGTGGGTTACCTATGTAGAAGGTAAGGGAGTGGGAGTGGGTTACTATGTAGAAGGTAAGGGGGTGTGGGTGTGGGTTACCTATGTAGAAGGTAAGGGTGTGGGTGTGGGTTACCTATGTAGAAGGTAAGGGGGTGGGTGTGGGTTACCTATGTAGAAGGTAAGGGGGTGGTGGGTGTGGGTTACCTATGTAGAAGGTAAGGGTTGTGGGTTACCTATGTAGAAGGTAAGGGTGTGGGAGTGGGTTACCTATGTCGAGGTACGGTGTGGTTACCTATGTAGAAGGTAAGGGGGTGGGTGTGGGTTACCTATGTAGAAGGTAAGGGTGGGGTGTGGGTTACTATGTAGAAGGAAGGGTGTGGGAGTGGGTTACCTATGTAGAAGGTAAGGGGGTGTGGGTGTGGGTTACCTATGTAGAAGGTAAGGGGGTGTGGGTGTGGGTTACCTATGTAGAAGGTAAGGGTGTGGGTTACCTATGTAGAAGGTAGGGTTGTGGGTTACCTATGTAGAAGGTAAGGGTGTGGGGAGTGGGTTACCTATGTAGAAGGGTAAGGGTGTGGGTTACCTATGTAGAAGGTAAGGGGGTGGGTGTGGGTTACCTATGTAGAAGGTAAGGGTGTTGGGTGGTGGGTTACCTATGTAGAAGGTAAGGGGGTGGGTGTGGGTTACCTATGTAGAAGGTAAGGGGGGTGGGGTGTGGGTTACCTATGTAGAAGGTAAGGGGGGTGGGGTGTGGGTTACCTATGTAGAAGGTAAGGGTGTGGGAGTGGGTTACCTATGTAGAAGGTAAGGGTGTGGGTTACCTATGTAGAAGGTAAGGGGGTGGGAATGGGTTACCTATGTAGAAGGTAAGGGTGTGGGTTACCTATGTAGAAGGTAAGGGGGTGTGGGTGTGGGTTACCTATGTAGAAGGTAAGGGGGTGTGGGTGTGGGTTACTATGTAGAAGGTAAGGGTGTGGGTTACCTATGTAGAAGGTAAGGGGGGTGGGAGTGGGTTACCTATGTAGAAGGTAAGGGGGTGGGAGTGGGTTACCTATGTAGAAGGTAAGGGGGTGTGGGTGTGGGTTACCTATGTAGAAGGGGGTGGGTGTGGGTTACCTAGGTAGAAGGTAAGGGGGTGGGAGTGGGTTACCTATGTAGAAGGTAAGGGTGTGGGTTACCTATGTAGAAGGTAAGGGTGTGGGTGTGGGTTACTTATGTATAAGGTAAGGGGGTGTGGGAGTGGGTTACCTATGTAGAAGGTAGGGGGGTGGGTGTGGGTTACTTATGTATAAGGTAAGGTGGTGTGGGAGTGGGTTACCTATGTAGAAGGTAAGGGTGTGGGTTACCTATGTAGAAGGTAAGGGGGTGGGTGTGGGTTACCTATGTAGAAGGTAAGGGGGTGTGGGTGTGGGTTACCTATGTAGAAGGTAAGGGTGTGGGTTACCTATGTAGAAGGTAAGGGTGTGGGAGTGGGTTACCTATGTAGAAGGTAAGGGTGTGGGTTACCTATGTAGAAGGTAAGGGGGTGGGTGTGGGTTACCTATGTAGAAGGTAAGGGTGTGGGTGTGGGTTACCTATGTAGAAGGTAAGGGGGTGGGTGTGGGTTACCTATGTAGAAGGTAAGGGTGTGGGAGTGGGTTACCTATGTAGAAGGTAAGGGGTGTGGGGTTACCTATGTAGAAGGTAAGGGGTGGGAGGGGTTTACCTATGTAGAAGGTAAGGGTGTAGGTTACCTATGTAGAAGGTAAGGGGGTGGGAGTGGGTTACCTATGTAGAAGGTAAGGGGTGTGGTGTGGGTTACCTATGTAGAAGGTAAGGGGGTGGGGTTACCTATGTAGAAGGTAAGGGGGTGGGAGTGGGTTACCTATGTAGAAGGTAAGGGGGTGGGGTGGGTTACCTATGTAGAAGGTAAGGGGTGTGGGTGTGGTTACCTATGTAGAAGGGGGTGGGTGTGGGTTACCTAGGTAGAAGGTAAGGGGTGGGTGGAGTGGGTTACCTATGTAGAAGGTAAGGGTGTGGGTTACCTATGTAGAAAGGGAAGGGTTGGGTGTGGGTTACTTATGTATAAGGTAAGGGGGTGTGGGTGGGTTACCTATGTAGAAGGTAGGGGGGTGGGTGTGGGTTACTTATGTATAAGGTAAGGTGGTGTGGGAGTGGGTTACCTATGTAGAAGGTAAGGGGGTGGGTGTGGGTTACCTATGTAGAAGGGGGTGGGTGTGGGTTACCTAGGTAGAAGGTAAGGGGGTGGGAGTGGGTTACCTATGTAGAAGGTAAGGGTGTGGGTGTGGGTTACCTATGTAGAAGGTAAGGGGGTGGGTTACCTATGTAGAAGGTAAGGGGGTGGGTGTGGGTTACCTATGTAGAAGGTAAGGGGGTGGGTGTGGGTTACCTATGTAGAAGGTAAGGGGGTGTGGGAGTGGGTTACCTATGTAGAAGGTAAGGGGGTGGGAGTGGGTTACCTATGTAGAAGGTAAGGGGGTGTGGGTGGTGGGTTACCTATGTAGAAGGGGGTGGGTGGTGGGTTACCTAGGTAGAAGGTAAGGGGGTGGGAGTGGGTTACCTATGTAGAAGGTAAGGGTGTGGGTTACCTATGTAGAAGGTAAGGGTGTGGGTTACTTATGTAGAAGGTAAGGGGGTGTGGGAGTGGGTTACCTATGTAGAAGGTAAGGGTGTGGGAGTGGGTTACTTATGTATAAGGTAAGGTGGTGTGGGAGTGGGTTACCTATGTAGAAGGTAAGGGGGGTGTGGGAGTGGGTTACCTATGTAGAAGGTAAGGGGGTGTGGGAGTGGGTTACCTATGTAGAAGGTAAGGGGGTGTGGGAGGGGGTTACCTATGTAGAAGGTAAGGGGGAGTGGGTTACCTACGTAGAAGGTAAGGGTGTGTGTGTGTCAGTGTGTTACCTATATAGAAGGTCTCAGGTGTCTCCTTGGTGAGCAGGTTAAACACCTCCTCAGTGTTAGGAGCTCTGTAGGGAACTCTCAGGTCCTTATACCTGCAGCTCAACTCAGCACGGATATCATACAGGGTGATTCCCTTGTTACCATAACCCTACAAACCACAGGAAAAACACAGGTTAGCATGTCAAAATTATAGGTCCTTGTTGCCATAACCCTACAAACCACAGGAAAAACACAGGTTAGCACGTAAATATTATAGGTCCTTGTTACCATAACCCTAATCTTGCGCACCGGATTCCAATAATTAGGTGGTTGATAAGATTAATCAGGTTAGTTACAACTGGTTGGAGTGAAAACCTACAGGGGGGTAGCTCTCCAGGAACAGGGTTGGAGTGAAAACCTACAGGGGGGTAGCTCTCCAGGAACAGGGTTGGAGTGAAAACCTACAGGAGGGTAGCTGTCCAGGAACAGGGTTGGAGTGAAAACCTACAGGAGGGTAGCTGTCCAGGAACAGGGTTGGACTGAAAACCTACAGGAGGGTAGCTGTCCAGGAACAGGGTTGGAGTGAAAACCTACAGGAGGGTAGCTGTTCCAGGAACAGGGTTGGACTGAAAACCTACAGGAAGGGTAGCTGTCCAGGAACAGGGTTGGAGTGAAAACCTACAGGAGGTTAGCTGTCCAGGAACAGGGTTGGAGTGAAAACCTACAGGAAGGGTAGCTGTCCAGGAACAGGGTTGGAGTTAAAACCTACAGGAGGGTAGCTGTCCAGGAACAGGGTTGGAGTGAAAACCTACAGGAGGGTAGCTCTCCAGGAACAGGGTTGGAGTGAAAACCTACAGGAGGGTAGCTCTCCAGGAACAGGGTTGGAGTGAAAACCTACAGGAGGGTAGCTGTCCAGGAACAGGGTTGGAGTGAAAACCTACAGGAGGTTAGCTGTCCAGGAACAGGGCTGGAGTGAAAACCTACAGGAGGTTAGCTGTCCAGGAACAGGGTTGGAGTGAAAACCTACAGGAGGGTAGCTGTCCAGGAACAGGGTTGGAGAGCCCTAATCCAGATGCTGGCAAGTAACAATGACCAATAACAGGGATGGGTAACTCCAGTCCTCTTTTCCCCCATCCCTAGCAAACAAAGCTGATGAAACTAAACTGAAGATCATGATTTTTTGATTATTGTAGTCCGGTGTGTTAGCTGGAGCTGGGGCTAAAGTGTGACACCATTCAGGCCCTCGAGGAGTTACCCATCCCTGACCTATAACACCTATGGTATCTATAATTGTACAGCTGTGTACTACACACAATCACACTAACCACACACACCCTCTCTCTTTCTGTACCTGTCTCTCCAGCTCCTCAGCGAAGGCATCCAGATCCAGGTCTTTGAGGCGCTCTGGGTTTTCCAGGATTTCCTCCAGCGCTCCGGCCGGGTTGGCGTCCTCCGCGGACTCATCGTATTCCAGAGCGTCCACCGCCATCTTTCTGGCCCACTCGTATGTCTCCGGGTGCACTCGGGACCCGTCCAGAACCTCGATGTACGAGTCAGTACTGCAGAGGGGGGGGGGGAGTCAGAATGACATACAAAGAGAATCCAGTGGACTATAAGCAGAACAACACCATGGATGAATGGAAATATCCCTACCATCCAGGCCCACCCACGTACCTGTCTCCGAGCGAGGCGGTGTCTATCTTGATGAAGCCAGCACAGTTGATGAAGACCTTGGGGCCCATGTGACACATGGTGACCAGCTGAGTCCGGTTCTCCAGGCGAGTGTTATTCTGCTTCAGGATCTGGACCAGGGGAGGAGAGAAACATTACAGACCATGTACGGGGATGAAGCAACCACACACAGAGAGAGAGAGAGAGAGAAGGGTAGGAGACACACACATTGGTATAATAATACAGTATAAATGTCTAATGCTGCTCTTAAACACAGGACACAGGTCAAGATACACATTTGCATGACACCGGACTCACAGTGGAGAGGTGAGAAAGAATACAGACCATGTACCGCAGGGTTCTTCAATACCGGTCCTGGAGGGCCGAAACACCTCTGTTTTTCATCCTCTCCTTCTAATCAGGGGCTAATTCAGACCTGGGACACCAGGTGAGTGCAATTAACTACCAGGTAGAAATAAAAAACAGAAGTGTTTCGGCCCTCCAGGACCGGATTTGAAGAACCCTGATGTACCGGTATGGAGTAAGCACTAAGGAGTAAGCACTAAGGAGTAAGCACTAAGGAGTAAGCACTAAGCACTAAGGAGTAAGCACTAAGCACTAAGGAGTAAGCACTAAGGAGTAAGCACTAAGGAGTAAGCACTAAGGAGTAAGCACTAAGCAGTAAGCAAAGACATACTGAACAAGGCTCTGACTCAAAACCTGCACAGATAGAGAGACAGACAGACAGACAGAGAGAGACACACGGCCGGACAGAGAGAGACACACGGCCGGACAGAGAGAGACACACGGCCGGACAGAGAGAGACACACGGCCGGACAGAGAGAGACACACGGCCGGACAGAGAGAGACAGACGCCGGGACAGAGAGAGACACACGGCCGGACAGAGAGAGACACACGGCCGGACAGAGAGACACACACGGCCGGACAGAGAGAGAGACACACGGCCGGACAGAGAGAGAGACACACGGCCGGACAGAGAGAGACACACGGCCGGACAGAGAGAGACACACGGCCGGACAGAGAGAGAGCCACACGGCCGGACAGAGAGAGACACAGCCGGACAAAGAGAGAGCAACTGACAAAAAGAGACACACAGACCTTGAGCAGGTGTGATCCCTTCCTCAGTCCGAGGCCACAGACGAACTGCACCAGGCTCTGTGTGTAGGGGTGAGAGATGGCTCTGTTCACATCCACCCCCACCTCATTGACCCGGTTTATAAACTCACAGTACAGAGCACTCAGCAGGTCCTCCTTTACTACATGCTCCTGGGAGGGGAGGGGTACAAGTGTTAGTGTACAATTAAATTAATGTCCCCTTCAGTACCTGCAAAGGCCACTTAAAGGACAACGCCATCCCAAAACTATCTTTTGGTATTCGTTTTATTAGTCCATTGTTGATATAGTCCCAAAATGTTTTGCTTGTCAGCAATCAAGTTTTCAAGATGTATGACTTTCAAAATACAGAAATACAGCCGGTACGAGTATTGATACCCTTGCACAGAATATCCTTGATCAGATGAATCCTTCCCTGTACACACACACACACACACCACAGTCTCACCTGTAGAGGGTGTAGTTTGAGGCAGAGGATGTCTTCGTCTGTGCTGCAAACCTGAGCGTACTCCACAAGGGATCCTGAATCTTCCTGGCTACTGACACAGCCTGGCGCAGCAGCGGAGGGTAGTCACGGAAGTCCTCTGGGGGGGGGATGGGGGGGGGAGATAGAGGCAGAGAGACTAGAGTATCAAGAAGAGAAGATGAGGGACAGATAGAGAGAGAGAGAGAGAAGAGATGAGAGACTAAGAGCCGAAGAGAGCAGAGAGAACGAGAGAGCAGACGAGATAGAAGAGAAGAGAGAGAGAGAGAGAGATAGGGACAGAGAGAGAGAGGAAGAGAGAGAGAGACAGAGAGGAGAGAGACAGAGAGCGGACAGAGAGAGAGAGAGAGAGAGAGAGATGAGACAGAGGAGAGAGGAAGAGAGCAGAGACAGAGTAGAGAGAGAGGAAGAGAAGAGAGATATAGGAGAGAGAGAGATAGCAAGAGAGAACAAGATAGAGGACAAGATAGAGACGGAGAGGGGACGAGACGAGAGACAGAGCGAGAGAGACAGAGACGATCTCTCTCTTCCTCTTACCTCTCTCTCTTTCGCTCTCCTCTCTCTTCTCTCCTCCTTTCGCCCTGCTCTCTCTTCCCTCTTTCTATTCTTACGCGCTCTCTTCTCCCTCTTAGACAGATTCTGCGCGATCTAAATGCGATCGCAGAATAGACTGTCCCGATAAAAGACAGAAGTAGAAGAAGCTGACAGATCTAAGAGAGGACATAGAGAAGAGATGCAGTCTCATATCTCATATCTGCATTCCCTCATCTCATCTCAGAATTTGCTAATGCTCGGAAGATCACAGATTGACTCCTCCCCTCTCATGCTAGCTCTCAGCTATCTTATCCGTCCTCGCATCGTCTCTCTGTCCCCTTCTTCTCTCTTATTTCCCGCTCTCTCTCTCTGTCCCTGTCTCTCGCTCTCTTTCCCGCTCTCTCCTCTATCTTTACCATCTCTCTCTAGCTCTTCCTCTCTCTCTCTCTTCTCTTTCTCTCCTCTCCTCTCTCTTCCTCTCTCTCTCTCTCTCTTCCTCTCCTCTACTCTCTCTTCCATCTCTCTCTACTACTAGATCTCTCTCTTCAGCACTAATTCATCTTTCTCTTCTTCATATGAGAAGATAGGATACCGACCCGTCATTAACATGTTTCTATTATTGTCATCAGGAATGTGTGTAGATGCAGCTATGTATTCATGCTGCAAGTGTCCAAGTAAACTTGATTTCTTGCAGTTCATGTGGACTGTGTGTATGAGTGTGTGTGTGGTGTGCTGTGTATGTGTACAGTGTGTGTACCTGAGACTTGGTACTGTTCATGTAGAGCATGGACAGTTCGTTGTCCACCAGCTCCACTCCCACAGCAGGCAGAGAAGACTCCTGCTCCAACTCACTCACTGTCCTCTTAATGTCCTCCATTATCATGTGGGCGTCCCTACACACACACACACACACACACACACACGCGATTAGTTCCTAGGCATGAGAGAACACCCATAGAGAAATAAGAGGTTATGTCTGAACGTGCCAAATAAGAAAGGCTTGTTTTAGAAAAGAACAGGGCAGGTGTCCAAGTGCTGGTCTGGGAACAAAAAGCTGTTTTGCAGCCTTCCAGGAGGGTGTGAAAGAGAGGTAGTGGGAGGGGAGCTCACCTATTCTCCCCGGCAACAGCCACCACGTGAGGCTTCTTACTGGTCAGGAACTTCTTCAGGTTCTCAATGTCCTGCAGCTGAGGAGACAAAACACACCATCAGATCACTATAATACAGGTAGACTAGCGGTTAAGAGCGGTGGGCAAGTAACCGAAAGGTTGCAGGTTTGAATCCCCGAGCCGACCAGGTGAGAAATCTGTTGATGTGCTCTTGAGCCAGGCACTTAACCCTAATTGCTCCTGTAAGTCGCTCTGGATAAGAGTGTCTGCTAAATGACTCAAATATGACTGTAATACAGCCTCAAATCAAATCCACTGAGATCAGCAATAAGGTTTCCCCCATAGCAGCCTATAGGTCAGCTGACATCAAAATGCTCTATTGAAACCAACTGAAGCCAAATGATTTAAATCAGGAGGCAACAGAGCTAGGCTAATTAATTGAAGGGGAAACACCGGATAACACTTCATACAACATCCTCGATGAGGTGATGAGGATAACTGCTTATATGATACGATGGGATAGGGAGGGAGGGAGGGGAGATTCTTGTCGTCCGTCTGCTCTGTACCTTTTTTTCCCTCTCGTCCTCCTTCCATGCGTTCCTCCTCTTCAGGAAGTAGGGCAGACGGAGGAAGTCCACCACCTCTCCCTCTCCGTTGATCAGAGAACAGAACACTGGCGCATCTCTATGGTAACAGAATGGTACCGTTTAGTTATCATTCATTGAAACATCCCACAGACACCCGCTACAGACACCCGCCACATACCTGCTGTCTGCGAAGGCCACTCCCAGGACTCTGATGCCTTTTCCTTGACTCTCGTCCATCAGATCATCATCCTCCTCCTCCGCCTGCTGGTCTGGTCTGTAGGGAGCCACCTTCAGCCAGTTATACAGCCTCCTGCAACACGACTGGACAAGACACACAATATCACAGGGTCAACAAACCTACACCTTCAGCCAGTTATGCAGCCTGGTGCAACACGACTGAGGTCAAAGGTGAACAGGAAGAGGACTCATACACCGTGACCTAATTTACACTTAAGCTTGAAACAGACTAATTCACAAGACGTGCTGGAACAATTGGAATTCACAATAATAAAAAGTCAAAAAATGTCTAATGATCGAGTTATGCCGACTCACCATCATATGGAATACAATATGTTGAGTCCTGGATGTAGCTAGATTTGCTGTAACATGATCTACCTTAATGATGTTGTCCTTGGCCTCTGCGATGAGTTTGTTCTTGAGTTCCTTGGCCATCTGAGGGTACAGGAACTGTGTGAGGGACCTCTCTATGGCCAGGGTCCTCTGTCTGTTCCACTCCTGGACCTGGTGACTGAACTCATCTCTGTAGTAAAACTGCTTGATCTCATCAAAGTACGTCTGGTCACCTGCAACCCTGGGAGAGAGAGGGGAGGGGTGGCAGAGAGAGACGGAGAGGGGGGAGAGAGAGAGGGGAGGGGTGGCAGAGAGGAGAGAGAGAGGAGGGGGGAGGTGAGAAAGAGAGGAGAGGAGAGGGGGGGGGGTGGCAGAGAGAGAGAGGGAGGGGGAGGAGGGGTGGGAGAGAGAGGGAGAGAGAGGAGGGGGAGGGGGGCAGGAGAGGGAGAGGGGAGGGGTGGCAGGAGGAGGGGAGGAGGGAGAGAGAGAGAGGGGGGAGGGAGGGGGCAGAGGGACGGAGGGGGGGGTGGCAGAAGAGAGGGAGGGGAGAGGGGGAGGGGGGAGAGAGAGACGGAGGAGGGGGGGGGGGTGGCAGAGAGAGACGGAGGGGGGGGGGGAGGGGTGGCAGAGAGGGGGAGGGGGGGGGGAGGGGGGGGAGAGGGAGGGGGGAGGGGTGTGGTCAGAGAGAGGGAGGGGTGGTGCAGAGGATCAGGGGGAGGAGGGGAGGAGTGGCAGGAGAGAAGAGGGTGGGGGGTGGGGGGGGGGGGTTGTGAGTTTGACCATTCAGAGACTGAATCTGTAACTCATGAGTTTAGTCCATAGAGATAGAGGTCTCATCTTTTTCATCTCTGCCATTATAGCAGCTGTGACAGCATGGGAAGCACCATTGAGGCTGTTTTGAAGTAGTCCATTTTCTTCTATACGATTGGCTGATCCTTCCTGATGAAAGGGTTGTACATGACTCCAACAGGGTCACTAGGAGGCATCAGCCAATGAAGTCGGAAGTCCCACTCAGTTGACTACATTAAAATGGTGGAAGCCCTCAATGGTGCTGCCCATGGTAATACGGCCTTTTGGCCCCTAGAGGCCTCTATCATTCTCTATGGTTTGGCCCTCCCTCTTACCCTTTGACCCCTATGAGGTCGATGCCACCCCGCCTTACCCTTTGACCCCTAAGAGGTCGATGCAGATGTCTATGGTGAGAAGCCCCTCCTCCTCAGCCTGGCACATCTTTAAGAACTGATCTCCGTTCAGCTCCTTCACTGGCTTGTTCTTCAGGTACTTGAAGGAGTAGCCAAAGTGGGCCTCATCCATGTCCTATAACAAACCGGAGTCAGGTCAACATGGCATGAGCACAGCAAAGAGGACAGTCTTAAACCATTTGTTGCAGGAGTCAAATTAATACGACATGGTATTCGAAACCCTTACATGAACTTTAAAATGGTATAATACCAATGTGCTGTTGTATTGTCTGCATTTTTTTGGTAAGTGTTTGTTATGTTGGCTGTCATCTAAAGACAGGTCTCACTGATCATTTGTTATACATGTTAGATCAGCACTGTTTCACAGGTTAGTTCCTTCACAGTTAAACAATAGTAAAGCAATTGTGATGCAGAGGAAAGCATCTGCTCTAGATACCTACTGTGGTAGAATTACATTATGTTAAATCACATTACTTTTATATTAGAATGTATTCCTTTATTAGTACTTTCACAATGTCTGTTCTTCCGAGAGGAGCCTCTGAGGCTGGCTTGGTGATAAGACAACACTCCAATCCATTAGTAGTGTGTGTGTGTGTGTGAGAAATGCTGGTCTCCCTCCAGGTTATTAACGAACACTGGACTTGTTGCATTAGTATTTCTGTATAAACAAGTAGTAAATGACCTATAGACAGATATTTGGCGCCATGTAAATCTTGCTGTCTGTTGCATGAGAGCACAATGTACCTTTGTATAATTTCACATATCCTACCATTCAAAAGTTTGGGGTCACTTAGAAATGTCCTTGTTTTCGAAGGAAAAGCATTTTTTTTTGTCATTAAAATAACATCAAATGGATCAGAAATACAGTGTAGACATTGTTAATGTTGTAAATGGCTATTGTAGCTGGAAACTGCTGATTTTTAAATGGAATATCTACATAGGCGTACAGAGGCCCATTATCAGCAACCATCAGTCCTGTGTTCCAATGGCACGTTGTGATTGCTAATCCAAGTTTATCATTTTAAAAAGGCTAATTGATCATTAAAAAAACCTTTTGCAATTATGTTAGAACAGCTGAAAACTGTTGTGCTCATTAAAGAAGCAATAAAACTGGCCTTCTTGAGACTAGTTGAGTATCTGGAGCATCAGCAATTGTGGGTTCGATTACAGGCTCAAAATGGCCAGAAACAATGATCTTTCTTCTGAAACTCGTCAGTCTATTCTTGTTCTGAGAAATGAAGGCTATTCCATGCGAGAAATTGCCAAGAAACTGAAGATCTCGTACAACGCTGTGTACTACTCCCTTCACAGAACAGCGCAAACGGGCTCTAACCAGAATAGAAAGAGGAGTGGGAGGCCCCAGTGCACAACTGAGCAAGAGGACAAATACAGAGTGTCTAGTTTGAGAAACAGGCGCCTCACAGGTCCTCAACTGGCAGCTTCATTAAATAGTACCTGCAAAACACCAGTCTCAACGTCAACAGTGAAGAGGCGACTCCGGGATGCTGAACTTCTAGGCAGAGTTGCAAAGAAAAAGCCATATCTAAGACTGGCCAATAAAAAGAAAAGATTAAGATGGGCAAAAGAACACAGACACTGGACAGAGGAAGATTGGAAAAAAGTGTTATGGACAGACGAATCGAAGTTTGAGGCGTTCGGATCACAAAGAAGAACATTTGTGAGACACAGACCAAATGAAAAGATGCTGGAGGAGTGCTTGATGCCATCTGTCAAGCATGGTGGAGGCAATGTGATGGTCTGGGGGTGCTTTGGTGGTGGTAAAGTGGGAGATTTGTACAGGGAGAAGGGATCTTGAAGAAGGAAGGCTATCACTCCATTTTGCAACACCATGCCATACCCTGTGGACAGCGCTTGATTGGAGCCAATTTCCTCCTACAACAGGACAATGACCCAAAGCACAGCTCCAAACTATGCAATAACTATTTAGGGAAGAAGCAGTCAGCTGGTATGCTGTCTATAATGGAGTGGCCAGCACAGTCACTGGATCTTAACCCTATTGAGCTGTTATGGGAGCAGCTTGACCGTATGGTACGTAAGAAGTGCACATCAAGCCAATCCAACTTGTGGGAGGTGTTTCAGGAAGCAGGGGGTGAAATCTCTTCAGATTACCTCAACAAATTGACAACTAGAATGCCAAAAGGTCTGCAAGGCTGTAATTGCTGCAAAGTTTGAAGGACACAATTATTATTTCAATTAAAAATCATTATTTCTAACCTTGATAATGACTACATTCCCTATGCATTTTGCTATATTTTCTATTCGAACTCATTTCATGTATGTTTTCATGGAAAACAAGGACATTTCTAAGTGACCCCAAACCTTTGAACGGTAGTGTATCTGTTCTTTGTCACGAGGACTCAAGACTATATAGAGTTGTAACCTAACCCTGCTTATTTGGTCCTTAACTCTGCACCATTGGGTGACCGCTAACGCTCCATTACTGCAGTAATTATTAATAAAGTTTGATGGTTTTGAAGAAATCTAAAAAAGTCTCTCCTTTGATTAGAATAATTACCACGACACTACCATAAATAACATGAATACTGTTAGTGCCTTGTCTTGGTTCCTGTACCTTCTTTCCCTTCTTAGTGGGCTTGATGTTGATCTTGGCTCTCTCCTGGAATGTCTGTCTGAGGACGTGTCTCACCAGAGGCTCTCTGGCAATTTGCATCGCAACCATGTAACGGGTCCCCTCCAACACCGCCTCAGGGCTGTTAAACTGACTACACACACAGACAGAGGGAGAGGTAGAGGGGTTAGTGTGTGTGTGTGTTTACCTGCAGACGTAGTCTTTGGCCAGCTCTACAGAGTAATGGGTCTTACCCTGCTGTGTGTGTGTGTTTACCTGCAGACGTAGTCTTTGGCCAGCTCTATAGGCTCGGCAGGGAACTGCTCTGTCTCATGACGCTGGTAGCTGTCTCTCAGATTCTCTCCAAACTGCTCTGGAGTCAGACCAAACTTCTTAGCCAGGCCATCTGAGAGACAGAGAAATAAAGAAAGAGAGAGAGAGAGAGAGCGAGAGAGCAAGAGAGCGAGAGAGACAGAGAGAGAGAGTGAGCAATGGCATTGTGGTACAAGATCAGTAAGACATTTTGTGAGAACCTGAAGCGAAGCGTCTAGACATTAACATTCATATTTGAACATGTCAGCCTCCGCTGAATATGAAAAGGATGAGACAGATTGCCAGAAGTAATGTCTTGAGGCAGAGCAGGGTGTATTTTCTTCCCATTTCACGTCAAGCCCCTTTCATCCGTCACAAGCCCAATGAAGTCAAGCGTAGGTCCCATTAAGGATGGATAAATAGACGAGAGGTCAGAGGTGACTCACCGAGCCCGGCGCTCTGACAGATGCTGTACATGTCTCTACGAGATGCCAGCTTCAGGTCCGGCCCCTTCTCTTCCTCCTCCTCCTCTTCCTCCACCTCTTCCTCCTCACCTGAAAGGAATGGGAAGAGACATGATGTGTGGAGGGTGGAAAAATCACACAAAAAATACAAAAGATGGTTGTTCAAAAGGTGTTGTTATTTTACGTCATACAAAAATGACACCTTTCTTTGATATTTTAGCCATCTGTCTCAAGGTGTAACGTCAAAGAAATAAGGAAACATCGGAATCCTCTTGGCAGCCATTTTGATCTAGTTATCAAATCATTTCTGGGTAACAATATAGATATTTACCATAATAGTCATCAGTTATAATTCTCAACAGTTGTCAACATGGCGTCCTACCTTCCTCGTTAACCTCAATCTTCTTCTTCATCTTCTTCTTCTTCTTGCTGGCGGCCTTGGCTGCGTTCTGCATCTTGGGGATGTCTCGGCCGTAGTACAGCAGGAAGTGGCTGTACACATCACTCAGCTCATCTATAGACTGGACGTCCTTCAGTCTGCAGGGGTGGAGGAGAAGGGAGAGGAGGAGAGGAGAGGATTGGATCGGGGAGGGAAACAGACTAGCTGGACTTTACTAAATGGGTCTTGTCTTCTGTGAAGACATGGGGATATGAGGCTTCTGAACTTTGATGTACCATCATGTTATGGGAAATCTGAGTCAACTTCCTAGACACAGACTAAGCCTAGTCCTGAAAAAAATATAAAGAAAATCTCTGCTTCATCTGTGTCCGGGAAACTGGCCCCTAGTGCATTACAACCCTAGAGCTCACGTCGTGGGAAAGACCACCATCTCATCAAAAATTGCATTGATTCCTGAACTTCTATATCAACAATATCCCTTCTCTGTCCTTTTAGAGCTGTTGCTTCAAGTTTACACAATGTACAGGATCGAGCTTGTCAATCACGGGTCCCACTGACCCCCTTAATATCACTGTTCTCCTATGGCCCTGTGTCTAGATGTACGTACCTCTACATGGATACTTATACTGGTCAAAAGTAGTGCACTATATAGGATAGGGTGCCATTTTGGACCCTGTGTGGAACCGTACCTCTCCATATCAGCCGTGTCCAGGGGTCTGATGCCGTCAGCCAGGGGTTTGTCAGGGTCGGCAGAGATCTGCTCATACTGGTACCCCTGCATCCTCCGGAACAGACGTGTCAGGTTCTGCTTCCTGCTCTTCAGCTGGCACCACTGAGGTCAGGGTGGTCGAGGGACAGGAAGTGGGTCAATATGAGGACAAACAACAAATGGAACGAGGCTTTTGGATTACAGTTGTAACAACCTAAGCCACGGTGACTATCTGCTGGTAAACACAGAGGTGTGTGAGCCTCAAGGTCAGATGTCAAAGGTTGTGATGAGGTCATCCCTTTACCTTCTCGTCCCACTGCCAGACCTTCCACAGGTCGTTGATGTTGAGCTCCGGTTCCACGTACTCCTTCCTGTAGAATGCGATGAACGGAACCTGGAGGGAACAGAGAACGTAGAGGAGGTAAGAACAGAGACAAACACACACACTGTTAGAACCTTAGCCACTACACACACACACTGTTAGAACCTTAGCCACTACACACACACACTGTTAGAACCTTAGCCACTACACACACACACACTGATAGAACCTTAGCCACTACACACACACTGATAGAACCTTAGCCACTACACACACACCGTTAGAACCTTAGCCACTACACACACACACTGATAGAACCTTAGCCACTACACACACACTGTTAGAACCTTAGCCACTACACACACACACACACACACACTGATAGAACCTTAGCCACTACACACACACGTTTAGTATCAAGGCAGTGTACCTCAAAATGCTGATTCCTCATGAAGTTGAGGGCCTCCTTAATCTTGGCGATGGTGCTGGGACCCTTCCTGCTGAAGTTAGTGGTGGTTCCTCTGTCCAGGTAATCTGTACTCTCCTGAACAAACAGAAAACAGTTGATCATTTTTAAACAATGAGAGTAAGGTCTGTGCTGTTCATGTGTTGTATGATACTGAGGGCGAGGTACTGAATGAAGAATATGAAGTGGGATATGGAGTGAGGAATTGGGCTGTTGGTTGTCTGTAAGTTAAAACTATTTTCCCTCCTCCAAAGGACCATTCTATTGATAAGATTTCATGAAAACCCCCAAAATCATGTTCTTTCTTTGTGCTGGTTTCATATGGAATCACTCTACAGTAGGTCAGTGGTTATTACCTGTATAGACATGGTGGGAGGGGCTGAGGCACTGTGTTTGTAGTCAGTGTGTAGCGTGTGTTTGTAGTCAGTGTGTTTGTAGTCAGTGTAGTTTGTAGTCAGTGTGTTTGTAGTCAGTGTGTAGTGTGTGTTGTGTGTGTTTGTAGTCAGTGTATAGTGTGTGTTTGTAGTCAGTGTGTATGTAGTTAGTGTGTAGTGTGTGTTTGTAGTCAGTGTGTATGTAGTCAGTGTGTAGTGCGTGTTTGTAGTCACGCGTGTGTATGTAGTCAGTGAGTAGCGTGTGTTTGTAGTCAGTTGTGTATGTAGTGTGTGTTTGTAGACAGTGTGTATGTAGTCAGTGTGTAGTGTGTGTTTGTAGTCAGTGTGTTTGTAGTCAGTGTGTTGTAGTCAGTGTGTATGTAGTCAGTGTGTAGTGTGTGTTTGTAGTCAGTGTGTATGTAGTCAGTGTGTAGTGTGTGTTTGTAGTCAGTGTGTATGTAGTCAGTGTGTAGTGTGTGTTTGTAGTCAGTGTGTAGTGTGTGTTTGTAGTCAGTGTGTATGTAGTCAGTGTGTAGTGTGTGTTTGTAGTCAGTGTGTATGTAGTCAGTGTGTAGCGTGTGTTTGTAGCCAGTGTGTAGTGTGGTCAGAGGTTCCTACCTGCATGGAGATGGTGGGGGTTGAGAAGGCGTTTCTGTAGATCCACTCTGCCTCTTCCTCCAACTCATCATCCTCAGCAGGCTTCACTGGGATGGAACGCAGCTATTGGACAGATCAGAGGGAATAGGAAACACATACACGGCTTCATTAAGATATCACAACTATATTCCAAGGACACAGGAGGGTGAAACAGAAACACACAACCCTACCTGGAACCTCTCTGGCATGTCTGTGGACCGGATCTCGTTGTCCTGGTCAGTCATGTGACTACTCTCCAGCTCGCTGGGCTCGTAGAGCTCGAAGATACTCTTCCTCCCCACCCTCCTCTTCGTCGGCTTCTTGGGCCGGTCCCAGCCCTCTTCATCCTGGTCCTCCTCCTCTTCCTCACCCTGTTCATACGCACCGTCAGCGTCGAACTCCGCAAAGTCAAAGTCACCGCCGAAGATCTCCTGAGCTTCCTGGAGGGCTCTGTAGATGGGCGGAGAACAGAGGGAACAGGTGAGCATTCAAAATATACTGCTCTCAATAGTTGTTCAGTATTTTCTATGTTGGAAGGAAACCACTAGAACGAATGGGATAGTATACAGTTCTGTCTACACTAACCATGAGGAGGTGAGTGAACACTATCCCTCACCCTGAGGAGGTGAGTGAACACCATCCCTAACCCTGAGGAGGTGAGTGAACACCATCCCTAACCCTGAGGAGGTGAGTGAACACCATCCCTAACCCTGAGGAGGTGAGTGAACACCATCCCTAACCCTGAGGTGGTGAGTGAACACCATCCCTAACCCTGAGGTGAGTGAACACCAACCCTAACCCTGAGGAGGTGAGTGAACACCATCCCTAACCCTGAGGAGGTGAGTGAACACCATCCCTAACCCTGAGGAGGTGAGTGAACACCATCCCTAACCCTGAGGAGGTGAGTGAACACCATCCCTAACCCTGAGGAGGTGAGTGAACACCATCCCTAACCCTGAGGAGGTGAGTGAACACCATCCCTAACCCTGAGGAGGTGAGTGAACACCATCCCTAACCCTGAGGAGGTGAGTGAACACCATCCCTAACCCTGAGGAGGTGAGTGAACACCATCCCTAACCCTGAGGTGGTGAGTGAACACCATCCCTAACCCTGAGGAGGTGAGTGAACACCATCCCTAACCCTGAGGAGGTGAGTGAACACCATCCCTAACCCTGAGGAGGTGAGTGAACACCATCCCTAACCATGAGGAGGTGAGTGAACACTATCCCTAACCCTGAGGAGGTGAGTGAACACTAACCCTAACCCTGAGGAGGTGAGTGAACACCATCCCTAACCCTGAGGAGGTGAGTGAACACCATCCCTAACCCTGAGGAGGTGAGTGAACACCATCCCTAACCCTGAGGAGGTGAGTGAACACCATCCCTAACCCTGAGGAGGTGAGTGAACACCATCCCTAACCCTGAGGAGGTGAGTGAACACCATCCCTAACCCTGAGGAGGTGAGTGAACACCATCCCTAACCCTGAGGAGGTGAGTGAACACCATCCCTAACCCTGAGGAGGTGAGTGAACACCATCCCTAACCCTGAGGAGAATGAACACTCACGCGTCCGTGTATCCTGAGAACTTCTTGCCTCTCTTCTTGGTGATAGGCTGGCCATCGTCGTCCACGATAAAGTCGTCAATATCTGTGGGAGATAAAAACAGTGATTTTCAGAGCCAGGAAGTGTTCAGCCAAAATGATGCATAATGCCATGTCCTGTAATATGTTCAGATATTAAAATGTGTAACATTATCATAATCAAAAGTACCCGACTCCTCCTCTCCCTCCTCTTCCTCTTCTTCGTCGAGGCGTTCACCATGGCGACGTAGAGGCGGGTCGACGGTCTCTCCCTCCTCCAGCTCCCCCTCTCCGTCCTCGTCGTCTCCTCTGTGGAAGATCTCGTCTGCGATCTGATCTTTCTCGTCATCTTCATCATCGTCCATCGTCTTCACGCGGTCATACTTCTTCTTCTGTCAGGACCACAGAGGATGGAGAGAGAGGTTTAAACTGGGGTCCATGTCCTCACAGAGGATGGAGAGGAGGGGGAGAGAGGTTTAAACTGGGGTCCATGTCCTCACAGAGGATGGAGAGGAGGGGGAGAGAGGTTTAAACTGGGGACCATTTCGGTTATGCGTTCATATGATACTTGAATGTGTGCCATTACTAATGCTGATATAGGATCAATTTAGCCTTTTAGATAATAATTATCTGATAATAATTGAAGTGATTGCATACCCTAACCCAGAAAGGAAGTGACTGCTAACCCTAACAGGAAGTGACTGCTTACCCTCCTCTTGACTTTGACCCCCAAGTTCTCCTCAATGAGGTCCAGATCATCATCATCCAGGTAGTCATCATAGTCTGGGAGGAGGGAGAGAGAAAGAGGTGCCACAGAGCAGAAATTAGCTTCCATAAAATTGCTTTCATTTATCTACTAGGCAAGACTATGAGTTTTTTGGAATGAAAACTCTCAAACAGCCCTGAAGCCCTAACTCACTGCGTTTCTTGCGCCTGTGTCTGACTTCATCCTCTGAGTCACTGCCGCTGCCCGCTCCTCCGCTCTTCTTTTCTTCATCTTCCTCATCTTCATCCACATCATCGTCGATGAGCCCCATCAGGTTCCCGTGCTCATCCTGGTCCTCTGTGTTTAACTCTTCCTCCTCTTCCTCTGTTGGGGGAGGAGGAAGAGTTAAACACACATGCAAACACATTTGCTCATAACACTGATGAAGACATGCAAGGGCGGAGAGACATTCATGCGTCACACTCACACCTTCTGATGATTCCATAAGAAATCAGTAAATTGTAATCATGTGCTCAAGCTCACCATCATCCATAAACGCCTGCGTCTTCTTGGGCTTCAGGTCTTTCTCTTCAAACTCCTCCTCTGACTCCTCAGCCTCGCTATCGATGAAGTCAGACATGTCTGCAAGGCCTGGACACACACGCTACAGTTTAACATAAGGGTCGCACTAAGAGAGAGAACATTTGAATCATATATTCCGAGAATATTAGTCTCAGAGTTGCTTTAACAGTCTTGCTGTCAGTTTAAAAGATGCACAAAACCAGGAAAGCTAGAGAATGCAGGGTTGATGGATACGCAAAGATGTCACTAGCATGGCATTGGATCCCGCGCAACAACGTTCAGAAGAGAGTATCGTGGATGGATTGCGTAACATAACGAGTTGCGCGATTCTGAAACAATTTTCAACCAGATGATTGACGTCTCACGCACACAAAAGACAAGAAAACAGCGGTGAACAGAAAAGACAAACAACACACTTAAGATAGTTACCTAATGTTAGGTACGGTTAGTTATCGTTAGGAAACCAATGTTGCTCTGGTATACTTGGGTTTCTGGCCAACATTCTCTACGGTTTTATAGAATGCTTACATAACTAGCTAACTGTTTTCTCTTAGTTTTGAACTTCGTATCAAAGTGGCTAGTTAGCTACCCATGCTAACTGGCTAGCAAGCACAAAACCTGCATTAGCTAGCTAAGTTAAACGTGAGGGGCTTTCGATAGCCATGTGGCGATTTTCAGTTGTTATATTACCAAGACACGTTGATAATGAACTCTGAATTGTGTATCCTTGACTTCAGTTAGCAATTTGTTTTGTTGCTAAATCAAGGTAAGTTACTGGGCGACAACAACAAGGCCCCTGTAGCTAGTTAGCTAACAGCACGTTAACAAATTAGCTAGGGGGACAACAGTCAAGGCTATTGTTCCCATGTTTTTGGCGGGGGATTATTTCACTGGACACCAAACTCCTTTGTAAAAAAAAAATAACTTACTTCTCCCTGCGACGATACTTGACCTAAATCCTTGAAATGTCGAAGGATATGTTGCTATGCTATATTTTCGTGCAGCTTCTAATAATAAAAATGGCTGATGAATAGCGGCGTGTTGAATTCCGGTGGTAAGGAAACTTCCGACGCTGTGTGAACGTTTTTTTGCTCGTGGAGCTCATCCACTTCCTCTGGTGGACAATAGTGGAACGTCAAGTCCTTCGACCACGTTCCGCAGCGATAAAAGGAAAATAACGAACTAACAAGTATTGATTTCAACGTAAACAAACGAAATAGACTCATAAATACTTATAAGTATTCTAAAACCCGCAAAAGTCCCATCACTTCTTAGTAAAGTATTTAATCTGCAATGACGAATCTGCGCCAGCAGGGGGAGCTGTCATATCTCCTTCCCCACTGTACCATTTTGATGACGTAGCATCAACTAATGTAAATCGCGGAGTTGAGTGGCAGCTGCGAGCGGTAATGGATAACTGTACTGGTCATTCACAGTTTTTATTGAGCTCTTTCTTATTAACATGTTTATTTGGGCTATCGCTCGGGACGGAACTGAGCTTTGTGACTTGCGGCTCGGTCGTGAAGCTGTTAAATGTAAAGCACAATGTCAGACTGCACTCTCACGACGTGCGCTATGGCTCAGGTGAGTCAATGTGTTCTTGTTAGCTAGCCAGCCAGCCAGCCTGTATCTTGGATACAGAGAAATGGAAATTAGCATGACGGTGTGTTTGTGTGTCCTGCCAGGCAGCGGGCAGCAGTCAGTGACAGGGGTGACCACGGTGGAGGACAGTAACAGCTACTGGAGTGTACGGGGCACCAGTGGGGGCCTGTGTCACCGGGGGACTCCCATTAACTGTGGTCAGACCATCCGCCTCACACATGTCAACACCGGACGCAACCTGCACAGCCATTACTTTGTCTCCCCGCTTTCCTCCAACCAGGTCAAGGGAAACATCATGTTTGCGACCCAAATTACACCCTATTCCCTATTTAGTGCTCTACTTTTGACCAGGACCCATATGGCTATGGTTAAAAAGGGCTCTGGTCAAAAGTAGTGCACTGTATAAGGCTACTCAACTCTTACCCTACGAGGTCCGGAGCCTGCTGGTTTTCTGTTCTACCTGATAATGAATTGCACACACCTGGTGTCCCAGGTCTAAATCAGTCCCTGTTTAGAGGAAACAATGAAGAAATGCAGTGGAACTGTCTTCAAGGTCCAGAGTTGAGTTGGAAGGGAATAGGCTGGCATTTGGGGAAAAAAGCCTATGTCAATATTAGTTTATTCTGTTTTGAAACACTTTAGCCTGGCTCACTGTGTGGAGATAAGTGTATCACCATGTGTCCCAAGAGGTCTGGACCTTTATGGCACAGGAGGTTGTGTGGTGTGTTATCCTTGACCTGTAACTTCAGGGATGCTGGATCGAGCCCCTGCTCTCTGTCCCCCTCAATCACTAACTACAATACCAAAAAGATATCTCATTGTATGATTGTTCATGGTCATGGTTTCTCTGACTCTCTCTCTCTCTCTCTGACCCACTCTCTCTCTCTGACCCTCTCTCTCTGACCCCCTCTCTCTCTCTCTCTCTGACTCTCTCTCTGACCCCCTCTCTCTCTCTCTCTGACCCTCTCTCTCTCTCTGACCCCCTCTCTCTCTCTGACCCCCTTTCTCTCTCTGACCCTTTCTCTCTCTCTCTCTCTCTCTGACCCTCTCTCTCCCTTTCCCCCTCCCTCTCAGGAGGTGAGTGCGTTTGGTGAGGAGGGAGAGGGAGACCACCTGGATGAGTGGACGGTGCAGTGCGGAGGGGCGGTGTGGGAGCGCGAGGAGGCCGTCCGCTTCCAGCACGCCTCCACCGATGCATTGCTATCGATTACGGGGGAGCAGTATGGCCGGCCCATCCATGGGCAGAGGGAAGTGCACGCCATGACAGGCCCCAGCCAGCACAGCCTGTGGAGGGCCATGGAGGGGGTTTATATGAAGCCCAGTGAAAGCCCACTAGGGAACAGGGACTACAGCCATCCTCTACACACAGAGTTCTGATTCAATCTGACTACAGCCATCCTCTACACACAGACTGACTACAGCCATCCTCTACACACAGGCTGACTACAGCCATCCTCTACACAGACTGACTACAGCCATCCTCTACACACAGGCTGACTACAGCCATCCTCTACACAGACTGACTACAGCCATCCTATACACATAGACTGACTACAGCCATCCTCTACACAGACTGACTACAGCCATCCTCTACACATAGACTGACTACAGCCATCCTCTACACATAGACTGACTACAGCCATCCTCTATACAGACCGACTACAGCCACCCTCTACACAGACTGACTACAGCCATCCTCTACACAGACTGACTACAGCCATCCTCTACACAGACTGACTACAGCCATCCTCTACACAGACTGACTACAGCCATCCTCTACACACAGGCTGACTACAGCCATCCTCTACACAGACTGACTACAGCCATCATCTGCACAGGCTGACTACAGCCATCCTCTACACACAGGCTGACTACAGCCATCCTCTACACAGGCTGACTACAGCCATCCTCTACACACAGGCTGACTACAGCCATCCTCTACACACAGACTGACTACAGCCATCCTCTACACAGACTGACTACAGCCATCCTCTACACAGACTGACTACAGCCATCCTCTACACAGACTGACTACAGCCATCCTCTACACACAGAGTTCTGATTCTCAACTAACCTGACCTGGCCCAGGTAACGCTTAGCTAACTATAACTACGCTCTATACCATTTCCTTCTCTCTCGCTCTCTCTCTTCCCACCCAGAGTTCTGGTCTACACTACTCTGGCCTCTGCCCCCCTGTATCTGCCTACCTGTCTCTTACTCTGCTCCCTCTGTTTTGAGGACACAGTCATGCACAGTGGATCTAATCTGGGGATCGCCAGGACAACTACAGAACTCTCTGACCAATCAAAACCATTCTCTGTCACCTGACCTCATCAACAGAGACTATTTGATACACTAAACAAATGCTGCTACAAGATGTAGTAAATATCATTTTCTATCTCCCCTCCACACACCTCTTCCCAACATGGTACTCTCCCCTCCACACACCTCTTCCCAACATGGTACTCTCCCCTCCACACACCTCCTCCCAACATGGTACTCTCCCCTCCACACACCTCTTCCCGACATGGTACTCTCCCCTCCACACACCTCTTCCCAACATGGTACTCTCCCCTCCACACACCTCTTCCCAACATGGTACTCTCCCCTCCACACACCTCTTCCCAACATGGTACTCTCCCCTCCACACACCTCTTCCCAACATGGTACTCTCCCCTCCAAACACCTCTTCCCAACATGGTACTCTCCCCTCCACACACCTCTTCCCAACATGGTACTCTCCCCTCCACACACCTCTTCCCAACATGGTACTCTCCCCTCCACACACCTCTTCCCAACATGGTACTCTCCCCTCCACACACCTCTTCCCAACATGGTACTCTCCCCTCCACACACCTCCTCCCAACATGGTACTCTCCCCTCCACACACCTCCTCCCAACATGGTACTCTCCCCTCCACACACCTCTTCCCAACATGGTACTCTCCCCTCCACACACCTCTTCCCAACATGGTACTCTCCCCTCCACACACCTCTTCCCAACATGGTACTCTCCCCTCCACACACCTCTTCCCAACATGGTACTCTCCCCTCCACACACCTCTTCCCAACATGGTACTTCAACATAGACATCTAAATGTATCTGAGACACCAGATCAAAAACAGCTAGTGATTTTATTGTTCTGTATGTCAGAGGTGCTACATGGCCATTCTTCTACTGTCTCTAAGACGGTGTGCCGGTCCATGTCTGACTGGTTATAGAAAAGAATAGATTTGGGTAAATATTACTTTATTGCTCCCCAGTTAAACATTTCGTATCATATGATCAACTACAGACATTACGGTCCATATAAATTCTGCAGGTTTGTGTTGATTGCTAAATGGAGGACAATGGAAGGTTATGCTTATTTCAAGAAACAAGCCTTGTTTTTATTAAGGTTGTAGATGCAAAACAGCATTGTTGCGTTACCTTTATTACACTATAGTTTTCTCTACTATTCGAACAAGTGTAATTGTATTAATAAAGAGGAGCAATTTGATCCGTTTTAAAATAAACATTTTAATCCTAGCAGACGGCCTATCACCACGGTTCCAACGACACCCCTTCTCTTCTTTACCATGAACAAGCAGTGTTTCTTTGTTTTGACTTTTGATTTCCGTTTAATTCCGTACAGTATTAAATATCCCTTCCATTGACGAAGCTGAATCGAAGCGTACCAGCTTTCTGTGTCCACTACAGTATTATGTCACAGTCAGTGGTAGGAGTCGATTCCATTCAGGCAATTCAGAACCAGAACCATCATTCCAATTTTAAGAACTGGAACAAACATCCCCATTGAAAATGAATGGCACTTTTTGATTCTAGAATGGAATTTCTCAATTCACCTTCTAAAACGAACAGAATTGGATTGGAATTGACCCCAGCCATGTTGTTAGTGTCCCAGGGGTTGACAGCTACAGCCTGTCTTGTCTGACCTGGTTCCTACACAGTGTTTTCTATCAGCTGTCTGTGAGTGAGTGTTCATCCCAACACACAGCTTTGTTTTCAGAAGACTTGTACATGATTGTAATAGATACCTCAGATTAAATGGATGTTTTGTGCTTACCAGTGTTATGTTCTCCGTCTGTCCCTGGTTGATGATGTAACTCGTTTGTATAGGCAAGTCAGGAAAGGTCTTCTCTCTTCAGATTTCTACCCACTTCATCAATGGCTCTTAATACTGTTTATTACAGAGACAGGGAGAGAACATCACTTAAAGTGATGCTCCAGAGCTTTTGTGTAATTTCAGCCAGAAGTTTTGAAAGTAGTGCTCACGTCACGAGGCAAAACGGGTCCCTGAAAATTGTGCCACCTCCCGAGTGCCGCAGTGGTCTTAGGCACTGCATCGCAGTGCTAGCTGTGCCACTAGAGATCCTGGTTCGAATCCAGGCTCTGTCGTAGCCGGCCGCGACCGGGAGACCCATGGGGCGGCGCACAATTGGCTCAGCGTCGTCCAGGGTAGGGGAGGGAATGGCCGGCAGGGATGTAGCTCAGTTGGTAGAGCATGGCGTTTGCAACGCCAGGGTTGTGGGTTTGATTCCCACGGGGGGCCAGTATGAAAACAATATATATATATACATACACTACCGGTCAAAAGTTTTAGAACACCTACTCATTCAAGGGTTTTTCTTAATTTTTAACTATTTTCTACATTGTAGAATAATAGTGAAGACATCAAAACTATGAAATAACATACATGGAATCATGTAGTAACCAAAAAAGTGTTAAACAAAACAAAATATACAGTGGGGGAAAAAAATATTTAGTCAGCCACCAATTGTACAAGTTCTCCCACTTAAAAAGATGAGAGAGGCCTGTAATTTTCATCATAGGTACACGTCAACTATGACCGACAAATGGAGGAAAAAAAATCCAGAAAATCACATTGTAGGATTTTTAATGAATTTATTTGTAAATAATGGTGGAAATAAGTATTTGGTCACCTACAAACAAGCAAGATTTCTGGCTCTCACAGACCTGTAACTTCTTCTTTAAGAGGCTCCTCTGTCCTCCACTCGTTACCTGTATTAATGGCACCTGTTTGAACTTGTTATCAGTATAAAAGACACCTGTCCACAACCTCAAACAGTCACACTCCAAACTCCACTATGGCCAAGACCAAAGAGCTGTCAAAGGACACCAGAAACAAAATTGTAGACCTGCACCAGGCTGGGAAGACTGAATCTGCAATAGGTAAGCAGCTTGGTTTGAAGAAATCAACTGTGGGAGCAATTATTAGGAAATGGAAGACATACATGACCACTGATAATCTCCCTCGATCTGGGGCTCCACGCAAGATCTCACCCCGTGGGGTCAAAATGATCACAAGAACAGTGAGCAAAAATCCCAGAACCACATGGGGGGACCTAGTGAATGACCTGCAGAGAGCTGGGACCAAAGTAACAAAGCCTACCGTCAGTAACACACTACGCCGCCAGGGACTCAAATCCTGCAGTGCCAGACGTGTCCTCCTGCTTAAGCCAGTACATGTCCAGGCCCGTCTGAAGTTTGCTAGAGTGCATTTGGATGATCCAGAAGAGGATTGGGAGAATGTCATATGGTCAGATGAAACCAAAATAGAACTTTTTGGTAAAAACTCAACTCGTCGTGTTTGGAGGACAAAGAATGCTGAGTTGCATCCAAAGAACACCATACCTACTGTGAAGCATGGGGGTGGAAACATCATGCTTTGGGGCTGTTTTTCTGCAAAGGGACCAGGACGACTGATCCGTGTAAAGGAAAGAATGAATGGGGCCATGTATCGTGAGATTTTGAGTGAAAACCTCCTTCCATCAGCAAGGGCTTTGAAGATGAAACGTGGCTGGGTCTTTCAGCATGACAATGATCCCAAACACACAGCCCGGGCAACGAAGGAGTGGCTTCGTAAGAAGCATTTCAAAGTCCTGGAGTGGCCTAGCCAGTCTCCAGGTCTCAACCCCATATAAAATCTTTGGAGGGAGTTGAAAGTCCGTGTTGCCCAGCGACAGCCCCAAAACAGCACTGCTCTAGAGGAGATCTGCATGGAGGAATGGGCCAAAATACCAGCAACAGTGTGTGAAAACCTTGTGAAGACTTACAGAAAACGTTTGACCTGTGTCATTGCCAACAAAGGGTATATAACAAAGTATTGAGAAACTTTTGTTATTGACCAAATACTTATTTTCCACCATAATTTGCAAATAAATTCATTAAAAATCCTACAATGTGATTTTCTGGATTTTTTTTCCTCATTTTGTCTGTCATAGTTGACGTGTACCTATGATGAAAATTACAGGCCTCTCTCATCTTTTTAAGTTGGAGAACTTGCACAATTGGTGGCT